AAAAAAAAAAATCCTGACCCTTGTTCAGTGAAACGAGGAATCCCGATGCAAGTCAGAAACTGTCGGGCAAAAAAAAAGGTATAAGTTTCACATCACTTATCGCACACCTGTACGTTAAAAATCTACAACATTATGTACAATATCCCTCTTTATATGTGCAACAATCATCCCACTTGGCACTCCGCCAGGAACAGGAACAGCAGTGGACATTACACAATGGCTTTTTCAGTTAGTGAGTGAGTCCAAACAAAGACATTGGTCAAGTGTAACTTATAAGACAGAAGCAAGAGCAATTAACAAGAGAAGACCGTTTGGCCCTACGAAGACCACACACATTCATCTACTCGCTGCCCAAGGATATAATAAAGGGCAGCGTTTTGTGCGGTCCTACCAGTGATCGCAGGAACGAACCGTTATTGTGCGACCATCATAAAACCGCGGGGTGAGGCTATGTGCTTAGGACTGGCTCGTGCTCTCGAGGATTGGTTTTATGATTTCTCATCAGCATCAAGTCCCCCGAGGTAAAGTGATTGCTGCAACCGCGATGACAATTTACATTCGTGCAGCGCCTTTCACGTGGGGAGGACGTCTCAAAGACCTTTGTGGAGCTGAGTGGACTGATTGCAGTATCTGAAGAGTGATGTGGATTCCGCATTTTGCAGAGGAAACTGCAACTTGTATATGCACAACTATCCCATCGTGGACTTTCTCTCTCTCTCGCGTTCGCTCTCTCTCGTCTCCCCACCCACCCACCCACCCACCCTGGAAGTACCCCTCCGTCTCTGCTCAGCCCCAAGGGACATCAAGCAAATCTTAAGAACTTCTATCCTTTCTCCACCTTCGACCATTCTCCAACATACACTGGGTTCAACAAAACATGTCCGGAGGAGTTAACCAATCCCCTCCCTCACGATAGAGCGAGATCTCTAATCAATACTAGTCTACAGGACTTCACAGTGGAACACATTTCCAGACGGAGCCCAGATCAGTGCAAGAGACAGATCGTAACAGTAACATCTGCAGATGAAGCCCATGAGTTCACATTTTCTGTTTGGCTTTCGTTTCCACGTCAGGATTTTAAGCTGTGCCATCCATCAGCAGGATCGGGGGAGAAGAGTCAGTGTGGCAGACGAGAGAGGAGATGAATGTGCCCGCCCAGAACTATGGGGTGCCAATTTAATTCACACAGCGTTGGAAGCAAGAGGACCCATTGGTTGGGGAGTCGGATTGGGTGGCCTGGCCGTGGATCACTGACTGTACAGAGAGCTGTGAAGTCTTCAAGCAGAGAGTGCAAGGAAGCCAACACTGGGAAAGCCAACGAGTACGGGTGAGGATTTGGAAAACTTTGGCTCCGACAACCAACGTTGAAGAGAAACGACAAGGAATAAAACCCCACAAGAACAGTTAAACCATGAAGGATGCCGGATGGAATTTATGTTTAAAAATATTTCCTTGGAAAGTAATAATAACAATCCTTTCATTTGATATGATGCCTTATCACATCATTGAGACATCTCGAAGCATTTCACAGGGTATATTGTAACGTGTTACACTGTGTATTTTGTGGGAGAAACATGGCAGCCAATTCCGCACAGCGGTGTCCCACAAACCGTGGTGGTTTGAGTGAACAATTTTTTTCGAGGGGGAGGGATTATTACTGCCGCAAAGTGCATCACTTGGGGATCGAGCCCAGGTCCTCTGCGAGATGGCTACAGGGCTCAACAAAGTGCAGAACTCCTGCTAAGTGCTTGGCCATGAGTGGACTCCAGTACCTACCTGTCTGCTTGATCACAGAGAACAGCATGAGAGACTGAGCACACACTGAGCACATATGCGAGTCTTCTCGCTGCTGTGCCAAGAATAAACGGGGATGAGGCAAGACTACAAAGCAGAGCAAGGAAGGAAGCTCAAACTAACTCTTCCAGGTCACACTCACTCCACACAAAGGTGCGCTGACTCCTTTAATGATTTGGGCATGAAGATCTTTATTGCAGTGCATATTTCACACATGGAGTACCGTACTATCGATCATTAAACTTCACACCCATTCCAACAACGGCACAAAGAATAAATGCTACTCTGGATCTATCCATCCGATTCCGGTTCGATTCCCGGGTGGGGAGAAAGTTTTCGAGCAGTGAGTAGGAACCCGGTTGGCAGTGCATCAACTATAGATCCTGATTGGGATCAAACACCAGAAAAGATTATGTGTGGCACGGAAATCTGTGGAGACACTGGGAGCCCCAGATGAGGCTTAGTGGTGGCAGCAGTTCCTGATTATAAGTCATGACATATGTCCCATATACTACTGCACTGTTAAAAGTCTGCAATACACGGCAGGTCAACAAATCCTGCAGTTAAATTGATCATTTACCTGTGCGTAGGATATTGGTGTAACGCAAATTGTCTACAAATACAGTCAACACCACTAACAGTAATTACTGTGGTGCACTTTGAAACATTGAGATTGCGTTCAGACTTATTTTTTCAAAAATTCAGAACCAAAAGTCTCCATGAAAATATTGTACATCTCACCAGCAATCTTGCCTTGTATCAATGTGCAGCAGAAAGCATTCAATTCACACAGGGGAAAAGCAACACCAAATTGCTATTATTATTATTATCTTAAATTAAACGATTCAGCTGCAAAATCCAATACATGATTAACATCCTGAAACCTGTTCTGTATCTTCTAAAAGGTTCAAGAACATCTGGGCAGCTCAGGTTGAGGTTCAGCACTCAACTCATTTGTGGTTTTCAAAATGAGCGTCAGATTTATATCGTACATGTTACATATACCGTATATAATATCTTTGGTAGAATGGAATTTGAGTTGGCCTTTGAGGAGACTAGCCTGGCAAATGCAGCCGTGCAAGCTCCGCAGTAATCCAAGGCACTGTTGATGCTTAACCCAAGCTGTAGACAGGTTCTCCAACCTCGCAAGCCAAACTCCTACAAGTCGGGAGACGCTGGCTGGATAGTACAGTCACAATCTGGAGTCAGCAAGATGACTAGTTACCAGTCTACCTCATACCATTTGGGGAAAAAAAGTCAAGACACTGAGACAACTTGCGATCTTTCCAAAGGGGCAAGTCTGAGAAAAGGGTGGGATAGGTTAGGGGTGGAAAGCTTAATGAATATGGACTTGCAAATGGGATAAACTATTATGGGGTTTCCACACTTGTATTCAGACATGACCGGGAGGGGGGACGGGGGAGGTGAGGGGGATCCATAAGGGTGCACTGCAGCCTATTTTAGGTGCAAAGCGTAAAATATTGCTTTGTAATATACAAAAAATAGAAAGAGATGGACTGGGTTTACATAGCATGGCTCCCAAAGCAAACTAATAGACATCCATTCACCTTTTCGCTGCTCAGGGAGTCAGTTCTAAGAATAGTTTTTTTTAAAAAAAACAGAAAATCAGGAGAGAAAATCATTTTTTTTAAAAAAATATATATATATGTACAACAGTGCTGAGCTTCTAAGTGATGTAGTGAAACCACACCTCCCACCCACCCACCCACCCACCACCCACCCACCTCGGTTGCAATGTGAGACAGACATGCACTGAATCCACTATTTCTCTCTACCAGAGTACATGATGTGCTTTGTCTGAACGTTGCAGATGTGCAATGTGTTGTGTGCTTTCCTTGTCCGTTGATGACCGACTGCTCAACCACAAATATATTACACAAAAAAAACACTTCCATGTGTGAGTGTGTGTGTGTGTGAGTGTGTGTGCACCTTGTGTGCAGCTCAATCGTCACTCCAGGACTCTCTCCCCCACTCCCTCCCTCCCATCACACCAGAAATGAAACAAATCCACACAGAAACAGGCGTCGCGTTTGCTATATGTATATATATATATATGAAAATAAAAAAAAATCAATTACAACCATCGTCACCATTTTTCTCTCTCTCTCTCTTTGAAAAGGTTTTGGTACAGCAGCAAAATATATATATATATATATATATATATATATAACCCCCACCTCCAAATGCATTGAACATAACGATCGATAGACTCAAGACCTTTCTGCAGTCTATTGCTACATCACACGTTAAAACTCCCATTTACCGATATGGGTAAAGAAAATCTCATTCCCTCTCTTTTCTCTCTCTCTCTCTCTCACACACACACACACACACTCACACTCACACCAATTCAGATCTGTTGTAGGCCATTTATATTGCAAAATAAAGTCAATGGAACCCAACACTGCGGTTTGCAAATGAATAGATTACAAACGGGAATCATTGCACTGCAGATACACACATAACACACGACACACACACACACACACACATTGCACACACATTGCACACGCACTTGGACACGCAGCAAACACACACATTGCACACAAAACAGACTGCAGTTTTAACGTTGTGCCAACCTTCCATCCAGTCTGAAAATCACATCCCCATCACTGACAACACACACAGACATACATATCACTGGCATCCACTGACCTGGACCCCCACCCCCCCCCACACACACACACACACCCCCACACACACACACACCCCCCCACACACACACACCCCCCCCACACACACCCACACACACACACACCCCCCCCACACACACACACACCCCACCCACACACACCCACACACACATACACCCCCCACCCACACACCCACACATACACCCCCACCCACACCCACACACACAGGGCATTCCAAATAACATCATGACCATTAAGATACGTTTTGCTTCCAAACCAAGAGGGGGAAGAGGGAGGGGAGGGGTGTGTGTGTGTGTGTGTGTGAAAAAAGCAGAGAGAGAGAGAGAGAGAAAGGAGATGGAGAAGAGAGGAAGAGAGACGAGAGAGAGAGGAGCCACAGGCACTCAATGCGAGTGACCATCCAACAACAAACAGTATCAGAGGGGAAGGGAGAGGAAAGAAACCCTCGCAACATTGTTAAAATAAAATAGTCAATAACATAACATAACATAACAACTGCGGGTGTATCAAATAGCAAAGAGGTTCCCATACCTGTAGATCCCAATGCAGCATTTAACATCAGTCAGACTTGTGGATAGGGGGGGGGGGGAGAGGGAGGGAGGGGGATGGAGAGGGGATGGGGAGGGGGGGATGGAGAGAGAGAGAGAGGAGGGGGAAGGAGAGAGGAAGGGAAGAGGGAGTAGGAAGAGATGCCAGGAAGCTGGGGGGGAAAAGGCCTCTGGCAGTGTCCAAGCTCCAGAGCTTTTTTTTTCCTTCCACGCCTGTTCCCCCCCCCCCCCCCTTTAGTGCAGGTGTCGCCTCTCTCTCCCTCTCCCTCCCTCCCTCTCTCTTTTCTCTCTCTCTACAAATGCAAAGAGGTTTTCCCCCCCTCTCCTCCTTCCCCACAACAAAAAAAAAGGCTTTGCTTTTTCCCCCTTTCTCTTCGTTTGTTCCTATTTTTCTCTCTCTCCCTTCACCTCTCCTCTTCCCCTCCACACAACAGCACAATAATAAATCCCAAAGCAGTTTTTTTTCCCCCCTTCCACCCCTTCCCTCCCTCCCTCCTCTCTCTCTCTCTCTATATATAAATATATATATATATTAGATAGACATTTTTTTGGAAAAAAATACAAACACTTCAATTATTTTCCCTGTGATGACTGTAACCTCAGACTGCAAAAAAAAAGACATCTGTAATTCCTTTCTCTCTCTCTCTCTCTCTCTCTGGGTTGGTTATTTTTTTCCTCTTCTTTTTTTCCCCCCTCTTCTCTCTCTCTCTCTCTTTCTCTCTGCCCTATTGCAAAAGGTGGGGGAGGGGGAGGGGGGGGGGGTGTTGATGGAGAGAGGGAAAGGGAAAAAGGAGGATAAATGTGGTCGTTGTCTCTCTCTCTCTCTCTCTCGTTGCTATATGTGAGCTTCTGCCATTGTTCACAGCGTTGTTGCTGCTGAATCCCAGACTCTCTCTCTCTCTCTCTCACTCTGCACCTCCTGTCTGGCAATGCTCGTCCCCGCCCGACGTGCACCCACCTACGTGCGCGCCCCCGCCTCCTCCTCCTCCTCCCCATTTGCGCGCTCCCGACAGCCAAGGTGCACGGACACGCGCACCCAATCCCCAACCCAACCCAACTCAGCCCATGCACCTGCCTTCACTCACACAGGACAAGACCTTTTGCTGACTCAGCGGCACCCAGGGGTGGGGGGTGGGGTGCGGGGGGGTCTCTCTCTAGATTTCCCTAACACAGCAAAAGCAACAACAGTCTTATCCCCCCACCCCCACCTCCCCCCTTTCACTCACCTCCATTCCCTTCTCTTTTCCGATAGCCCTGCGGGATCTTTAACGTCCACCCAAACAGGCAGACGGGACCTCGGCTTAACGTCTCATCAGAAAGACAGCACGTCCGACAGTGCGACCCCCCCACCCACCCACCCCCCAACCCCTCCCCACTTCCGCGCGCACACACACACACACGCACACGCACGTACACGCGCACAGCGCTGCATTGGAGCATCATCTTAGACCGTGTGATTCCGAGTCACGGTAGGGAGGAGACGAGATGGGGGAAAGAGCAGCGCTATATCAATAGAGAGCGCCGGTGGGTGGTGGGGTGGGGGACTGGTACCAACACACAGAAAAAGGTCAAATGGCCTCTTTCACGACTGCAAACGGCTGCGCAGTTTTACAGAGCGTGATGCTTAATGGGAGATGCAGTCCTGGAACGAGAAAACAGAAGAGCAATTTATAACTTTTTATAAAATAAAAAACCTTTGGGATATACGATCTTAAGAGCTGAGCCAAGTCAATGCACGCCGGGCACCAAACCAAACCACTACCCCACTAAACAGCACCTGTCAGCCTGCGAGGCAGGATTTTCAGACTCAGCATGGTTCTGTTCTGCAAACAAAAAAAAAAAAAAACCCCACAGATCGACAGTTTGTCACTTTATGGCCAACCCAGACTTTTGAGCAAACATTTTTTCTTTTAATAGGAGAACTCAATCGGAAAAATAAATCACACATGGTAAGGTGACAATAAAAACGACAGCTGCTCTCCTCTGAATTAGGTGTACAAGCTGCTAGTAATATACCTGTAATTGCTCTTTCTCTCCCCTCCCTCCCTCCCTTGCGTTGTCGTATTAATCATGGTAAGAAAAATCCAAGGAGGCAAATAAGGCGTAACTCAACTTTGGTCCTTTTCAATGGCATTTCCTTTGGATGAGACGTTAAACTCATGTTAAAGATCCCACGGTACTGTTTGAAAAGGGGAGTTTCTCTCTCCTGGTTTCCCGGCCAACAATCTCCCAAATAAAATTGATCACTCACTCCATGGCTGTTTGTGGTACATTGCTGAGCGCAAATTGGCTGCGGCCTTCAGCCACAAAAAAACAGTCAAACCACTTTACAGTATATCCTGGGAGGCGGTTTCAGACATCTTGATGAAGTGATCAAGCCCTGTATCAAATGCAAAGATTATTATGATTCGGAACACCTTGCACCGTAAATACCATTGGTTCTTTCACTTAATTTGGACACCTCGAAGCACTTCACAAAGATGGAGAGAAAATCCAAGGAAGGAGGAGGAGCAATTTAACTGGGGAGACAAATTGTTATGCTTTAAGATGGTTGTGAAGGTTGGGAGAGAGGGCACAAGGCAATGGGGATTTGGGAGAGTTCGAGTGAGTGAGGGCACTCATCGTTCCATTGAGACGAAAAGAGTGAAGAACAGTAGGACCCAAGTACTGGCAGAACAGTATAAGGTTGTAGAAGTAGGCCAAGATCGCAGAGAGATTTGAACACAAATTGTAGTCTTATAGAAATAAAATTCCTTGGCACCAATCATCCCCGACTGATGCACTGGATTTTATTCAACTAGTCCTTACGTGATTTTGCCAGAACAGAAACACATGATTAACAAACATGCCCTGAGAGTATGGAGTGTGAGTTATTGCCCTGGAGCTACAGAAAGCTCGGATTTGTAAATCCAAAAGAAAATAGTCTTTTGTATCAAAAATGTTATACGCCAGGGTAGATTAAATAAAAGTAGGAAAAAATTGATATGGATTAAGAGACACAGAAGACTTGGTGGGGGGGGGGAATTCAAGTATCCCCCCCCCTTGCATCTCCTAACTAGACTGTAGCTCATAGTTATTAAATATTAAACATTTGAAATGCTTCAGCCTCATTTAAATATTCCACGTGCCTCCTGTACATGTTCAGTTTAAATGCTACCATATAGTTTTTACTACCTCTATAAAGATAAAAGCAGCCTTTCTGCAAAGTGCCTTGGGATTATAGCACTGGATGATCCACAATAGGGCAACATCAAATCCAGTTGTTAATCGACTGGCAGAACCCTTTCTGGGGGTAATAACCCCTTCAAAAAAAAAACGCTCAATCCACGACTGTTTGTGGGACACTGCTGTGTGCGATTGGCTGTCCCGTTTCACCCACAAAATATAGTCAATTCACGTTACAGTATACATCAGAATTTAATGAAGTAGTGTACAGTGCACGGGTTTACATGTGAGAATTCGATCGTTGGTCCTCTTGCAAATATCCTGACCGCAGCGCACATTAGTTCAGGTCAAATCGAACAAGCTATTAATTGTGGCTGCTTTGCAAGCAAGAAGCCACTTCGGGATGACTTTAGAAGAGCACGTGTTTCCAACTTGGTTTTAATAAAAAGTTTCTCCGAAAAAGTCCGTTGTCGAAGTATCATTTGGCGCGACTTACGCTTGATACGTCAGGTGCAACTCGTGGGAAGCCCAGTGCAGTAAATCAGCGACCGGGCATTTGAGTTCAAAAGCAGAAACAAATGGCAAACGAGATTTTATTTGAGGTTGAGCAGTCCTATGAATACAGTACATATTCCAGTTTTACAGGCAAAGTGTACTTTGAAAAGACAAGCGGTTCCCATCTGCTCACCTGTGACAATGCAAATGGAATTCATCTGTAAATTGAGATTACAGTGAGGGAGAAAGTCTTTACGACAGGAACAAATACCAATCATTTTTACCATTCCACACTTTCAACACTTCCTTTCTCCCCGGGTTCCTTCAGCCTTTTCCACTGAGGGAGTAGAATGGAAAGGCACAATGTCTGGTTAAGAAACACAAATCTAATTCCCTCCCCAAACCCCACCCCACCCTCAAAAAAAAGATACTGCAGAGCTATCCATTTACTAGTCACTGCCTTGAAATTGTTCACAGAATCGTGCAGATTAAATGCACTAAATGAAGGATTCTCGATGGTTCAGACTGAACACTGCCTACTTGGACCAGTTTTGAATTAACACACACGATAATAATGATACTTACATTTGACACAGTGCCTTATCACGTCTTCGAGATGTCTCAAAGCGCTTTACAGAATATAATGTAAAGTGTAGAGACTGTGTGTTTTGTGGGCGAAACACAGCAGTCAAGTGCGCACAGCAATGATTTGCCTCAAGGTGTGCAGGATGGCTCAGTCTGGGTCTATAAACAAAGCTTCAAGTGATGCCCTTCCCTTCGCCCCTCTCCCCCCACCCTCCCTCAACCTGCCCAAAAATAACCCTACAAGTCATGGTCAGTCTCACAATTAGTAATAAACAAAACATTTCCATTTCCGCAAAGCTTTGGATTGCACCCTTTTTTTTCCCCTAAAATTACTTATTAGTTTGTTTTAAATTGCAATATCCCAGGAATAGGAACAACAGTCCTCGCAAAGTGTGCTCACCACCTTCAACCCAATCCAGTCTGTGTGGATGTTGCATTCCAACCCCCACAGTTCTGAGTCCACACTAAGTCACGGGTCAAAACCATTGCACTCCTCCCCCACCCACCATCTCGTTTTCAGCAAAAACTGGACCTTGACACGGTGAGCAGGTTTGAAATGGGCAGAACTATGTCACAACTAATAATAATAATCCTTGCATTTGAACAGCACCGTATTACGTCTTCAAGATGTCTCAAAGCGCTTCACAGAATATACTGCGAAGTGAATCGACTGTTTATTTTGTGGGCAATTCAGGGCAGCCAATTGCGCAGAGCAGTGCCCTACAAATTTGTGGATTGACTGAGTGACCAAATTATTATTTTTCTTGTTTGTTTTTTTATTAACTCCGGAAAAGTGCTCTGCCAATCAACAATCAACCAGGTTCCTACTTACTACAAGGTAAACGTTTCGCCCTGCCCGGGAATTGAACCCGGGTCCTCTCGCTTGCGAGGCGAGTTGCTCTAACCACTAAACTACAGAACTCCACAAATAAGGGTTGCATGCTGCCATTTGTAACCAGCACACTGCAAGTCAATGTGCATTTTTATGAAGTCCATCTGAACAGGCAGACAAGACCTCCGTTTTATGCCTCTGGGAACGTGGTGCTGTTCCAGCAATGCCCTGGAGTGTCAGCCTGACCATGAGCTGTAGTTCTGATGCGGGAACTGAATTCGCAACCTTCTCACAAAGTAGTGAGAGCGTTATCAATACTGAGCCAAGCTGGGCACGACAACAGAACAGCTACAAGATCCTGAGGACAGAAACAAGTCTGATTTGATTTCGATGCTAAAAAGAAAAAAAAAAAGAAAAAAAAGGAGGAAATATTGTGCAATTTAATATTCCTAGCCAGGGCCACGTCTGAATGTGTTAGAATTTGCATCCATTGCAATATTTAACACAACCGCCATGTCACACCTACAGGGGAAAGAAAAGCACAGAAAAACACACTGGTGTAGAAACTGGAAATATGTCAAATGTTTAGTAAAGTAATTTCAGAATTGGCTACGGTGCATTCATAATGTCGAAGAATGGGCAGGTTAGTACTGTCTACGTAAATACCTATAACTCAAAGCATCTGAAATGGAAGGCTGGCAAAGGAACCCAAAGAATATTTTTGCCTCCTCACGCACAACCGCATTACTCTAAAGATTAGAAAGATGATCTTGGCATCACAGAGGTTAGTTTCATAACACGCTGTGGGGGTGGGGTGGGGTTGAGTGGTGGGTGGCGTGGATTGAAATGGCTGATCTTTGCCCCAGAGTTGCCCGGAGAAGCCAAGATGCAAGGCGCGTTCCCAGATGGAGGGAACAGAGGAGGAAAAAAAAAGGAGATGAGAGTACGTTTCCTTACATATATACAAGCTTAAAAGCTCAAAGCAAAACAGCACTGAAAACCCATCGCATGCCCATTCAGTACACGGTGTCCATCCACAAGGACCTAACTCAGAAAAAGGCTGTATCTTAAAAAACAGAGTTATGCAATGGTCGTGGGCTAAACCCCGGAAAAGATAAACCTTTTCAAGCCTTTATATGATAATAATGTCATTCTTTCCTTTCAACGCAGTCACCCTGAATGAGTAACCCGCGAAAATGATCCATCCTTAGTCAAATTGCTCTGGAAGTATACCCGAAACAAAGGCAACGTTCAAAGTGCGTATTATTATTAAAGCAGAGTTTGTGAGGATGCAATCCATGTGTACAGCTTTCCTCAACTAGCCCCACATGGCGCAGTCCAGTGTAGCAAATCCCAGTGTACGAGATTTTACCAATTGGAAGAAATGAGTATCGTGGTCGTACAACACAGTGTGTACCGGGAGTGTCGAACTACTGAACCTTCACGTGTATAATTTTACAGGATCCTAGTTACCCTACTTCTCTCTCCTTAAGGTACGTTCGATAACGAATAAACGCAAGGCTGCCAGTATCAATCGCCCTCACCTCACAGGCCGAAATTCCGGTTGGCGTTAGGCGCCTTTGGCGATGTGCAATTATACTCGAGGAAATTCCATTAGCAGCCGACATTGCCAAAGATGCCGCGCCTAACGCCAAACAGAATTTCAGCCTCTTAGCCAGTCCGCATCCTTGGTCCACGCTAATACTGATACAGTACTGGCTCATCACTACATTGCAGCAATGTACATCCATTAGCTCCAGGGTACATTTACAACACAAATGTACAAGATGCAATCCACAATAGAATTGTTTGCTTGATCCGTCTCTCTCAAACCAGGCTCCAGTAAGGCATTTGGACCTGGCTATAGACTCGCCTCACGTAATCTCTTCAAACACACCAAAGTATTTTTCGACCATTTCTTTTGGCTACAAAAATAAATTCCTTTGTTAAACATTTAGTTTGGTTTCTTTTAAAATTGGGGTTGACTGTTTGTGATGAGATGGTCTATCTATAGGTATGTACCAAAGTGTGACTCCAGTGCAAAATGCCAATAATAGTCTAATCTCGAGCGGACAGATTTCTAGCAGGAGCAGTTTCCACAGCCTTTTACATTGTTCATAATCTCCTCCATCACTTTCTTCCTCTCCTCTTCTTTGGATGGCATGGTTCTCTTCTCGTCCTGCTGCTGTGTGCTTATCAATACTCTGCTGTGCTGTGTGCGCCACAGTTCAGAGTAGAGGCTGTCAGCCTTGCTCATTAGATCTAAATGGGTTCCACGTTCCGCTACTTTACCCTGCAGTGAATTACAAAGTGTTAGAAAGACACCGACTATACTGTAATCTGACATTTAATTGGGAGACGTCAACTTCCTTTCAGATACGATTAACGCTTCCACAAACCTATGACAGTTTTAAAGTAAAACGTCTCCGAGAGTAAAGGTCTGAAATGACTCAGAAGAACACAGGTAGTCGCTGAGACTACGGAAAGGTGCTCTTAACGTTTGGACTCAATACCTCCTGTGGCTAACTAGCTGAGGGGTCGAGAGAGAAAAAAAAACATTAGTCAGTTCCCTCTCCTCGCTTGCTACTGGAACACTCATGGTTATGAACATTTTGAGCAAGGGAAGGATCGAGTTCTTACTGCAGTATAAACGGGGTGCTATTGCGAGGAAATACGTTCACACACATTCGCTGTAATAGAGAACGGACAATGAACTGATTGCACGCTGTGTGAGAAGCGTGTTGAAAAATCATGCCTCCGACATTGAAATAAGGATATTTCAAATAAAAGACGCACAAACCACAAACACTTTGTAAAGTGCTCCCCTCCCCTATCCCACTCTNAAAAAATATTAGACACTAAAGCTCCAGTTATCACCCAGTAGTTGGACGTCTATAAAATCCCAACCAATATTGCCCCAACGGGGGAATATTGCTGGTCAGCACTTCCGCAGTCAACAACAACAACTACTTGCATTTATATCGCGCTTTTCGCCCAGGTCAGGTCTTGGGAGTGTTTCAAAATGCCGGCTGGGTCATCAGGCTGCTGATACCCAGCTTTCTGCACACGTTCTGGATTGTCTTTTATTTTTGTAAGTAAATGTCGGGATCAGCAACACTAATTCCAAAGGGGTTCGTTCTCCTGTAATCTCCCTGGAGTTTCATGTCTTCGCTCAGGCACCCTAGTTCTATAAATATTCTAAGAGAGAGAACCTGGGATGCCTTACCTGATGCAGAACGAGGATCTCATCTGCATCAACGATTGTCGTCAGTCTGTGCGCAATGAACACAGACGTCCTGTGCTGAACCAAGTTCTTTGTTGCGTTGAGAATATGCTGTGCAAAGGAGAATAGAAGAAGAAGAAAAAAAAATCGGTCCCTTTGACTCTCAAAAGCTTATACATCATGCACCCAGACTGCAAGGCTTTGCAGGATGGAATTACAGGGTTGTAATAAATCTTGGAAGTTAATGCTGTTTATTTGTAAGCCCAAAATCCAGTTTACGAATATTAACTTAATCCTAACTGCAGTCTGTCATTATCATCTGTTTTATTTCTAACAACACAATTGTTTTTCATCACAATTTAAAAGCAGCTTCCACTGCCCTAATGATAATAATCCTTGTTTTTGATATAGCGCCTTATCACATTAGAGACGTCTCAAAGGGCTTCATAGGATGTACTGTAAAGCGACTTGATTGTATATTTTGTGGGCGAAACACGGCCCTCAATTGCGCACAGCAGCGTCCCACAAACAGTCATGGACTGATTAACCAATAATTTTATTTATTTTAAAGCGATTATTATCCCCCAGAAAAGCGATCTCCCAGTTGACTAACAACCGGGTTCCTACTTACTGCTTGATAAACAGAGGCATTTGGAGTAAGGAAACTTGCCCAACATTTCGCCCTGCCCGGGAATCAAACCCAGGTCCTCTTGCTTGCGAGGCGAGTGCTCTAACCATTGAGCTACAGAGATTTTAGCAGATAACTTCAAGGCCATACCTCTTCCGTGATTGAATCTAAGGATGAGGTAGCTTCATCATACAGGATGATGGGAGGGTTCTTCAGCACAGCTCTGGCGATCGCAACTCTCTGCTTTTCTCCTCCTGAAAGAAGCAAAGAGTCACTTTAAAGATCACTCCATTCCCTCCTCCCCCCCCACCCCCCAGCTACAAAAGGCAAAAGGCATCAGCTCATTTCAACAACAAAAGAAAAATTGGTGCCATTCAAGGCAGAAGCAAAGAGAAGAAATCAAAAGGTTTCAGAAACTTACAAGGCCGTTAAATCACATTATATTCCTCATTGGTTTTCCATAATGCTCAGTTTTAAAGCAATGCAGGTTACAATGTGAAGCAAATCTCTTTCATCTTCCTTTCCCCCCACACCCCCGAACATGAATTGATCTTTACATCATTTCCAACACTAGACTGTATATGAAGGTAGTGATGTGATGATAGCGGATTTAATCAGCCAATGACAGTTTGGTGACGGATTTGATTCCTTCTTGATGCACTGATTTCTTCTCTTTTTTTTACAGATAAAAAAAATGATGATATCCACTGAAGACATTCCTGTTCTTGTGTAATCACTCACAAGGATGATTAGGCACAAAAAAATTAATGGAAACAATAGCTTGCACTCAAACCGCCCCCACTTACCGCTCCGCTCAGTACAAAGTACTTCTCCGGGGCCGCGTGTATAGAGAGCCCAGCTCATCTTTACCCCAAGCCCGCGGCAGACTTGCTCGGCCATCAGGGCTGAAATTCAGTGCCGTTCCCTCCAGACTATTATTCCAGACTCTTGAACATTGTGGCAAAACAACTGTAATTCACATGGCTCTCAACAGCCAACAAAGCCATGCTGCCAACTTTTGCTGCTGACCCCATTGATTCTTTTATACCCTGTGCTTTCCCGCTCGCCACATCAGGAGTGCGGTTTGACGAACACCCAATGAAGGCTGGAATAAAATGGTTTCCGAGGACAGCGAGTTGTCAATCGAAGGAAGGAAGGCAAGGAAGGCACATTCCCTCGTGCACAGGACAAACAGGTCAGGCTGTCCTACTAGTGCAAAGCCCCACCTAGTGGTGTGGTGGAGAACGTTATCTTGGAAATCTTAATTCAATAGGAATCAAGACCACCAATCCAATTGGAGACTCTTAGGCGTGGTGATGGGTCTCTGCCCGTGTCAGACACTCGGCTGACAAAATAAACCCACATGTTAGTCCAACACCGCACATTGCACAGGCGCCAAAGCCGCGGTGTGTGACCAGTTGTTCTCGTGTGTTAAACTCACCCGACAGCTTCAGTCCCCGTTCGCCAACCTGAGTGTTGTAACCATGTGGCATTCGGTGAATGGCGTCATGAATGCCGGCAAGCTTGGCCACGCTGTAGATCTCTTCGGCTGTCGCGTTAATGTTCCCATATTGGAGATTGTAGAAGATAGTGTTGTGGAAAAGAACAGCATCCTACAGGTGGAGCAGGAGAGAATTCCAACTTCAATAGTCAAACATTATAATATCCTAAGCCAAAAGCACAGCCCGACCCTGACACCCAAAATACGATGAAACCTCCACCAATGTCACTCAGGATTCATTGTTGGCCTCGTCTTCAGCAATAACATTTCATCTTTTACAGCACAAAAGAACATTTCACACTGACGTCATTAATTTCTTCCGTGCTTATAACTAGACTATTTGACATTGTCTAAAGAACACTTTCCACGGCCCCAGAAAGATGGCGGGCAGCGACCTCACCATAGAGATACAGGACAGATTGTCTGTACTGAGAGGAAGAGTTAACAGGAGAAGTGCCAAGTCTACTTGAGGTTGTGAAGTTTTGGGAGATATCAAGTCAACGCAAGGTCACAACACTGACAAGAACCCAAGAGCCCCGACCCGATGCATTCAAAATATACACAGCCCTAAATCTGAACCGCCTTCCGTGGGACACTTGTCATCTACTTCTACATTAAAATTTGCAGGAATAGATCTCAAAACAAATCTAATTATAGCATTGACTGCATTGAGAACATCCATCATGAATATTTATTGCAATATTTGTGTGCCTTAAATGAGCACAACAGACCCAAGTGAATATTAAAATTCCAACAGCTGTTTCCCTTTCATCTGCATGCTACAGTAACCACTACACTAAGCAACACTGCCTTAGCCTTCGAACTGCCACTAGCCAACAAGAGAGCCAACTTAACCAACTTAAATGATCCTTAAATCAAACAATATAAAGCCTTGTAGTCTCGCTACTTTCAGATGTTATCTTCTCTCGTGCCTATCTCTATGTTTAAAAAAAAACAATAATTTGACCACTCAATCTACGACTGTTTGCTTTACGAGAGGACCTGGGGTCGATTCCCGGGCAGAGCAAAAGCAAAAGGTTGGGCAAGTTTTCTTACTCCACAAGCCTCTGTTTACCTAGCAGTAAGTAGTAACCTGGTTGTTAGTCGATTGGCGGATTGCTTTTCAGTTCGTAATAATCCCTTCAAAAAATAATAGTTTGGTCACTCAATCCATGACTGTTTGTGGGGACACTGCTGTGTGCAATTGGCTGCTGCGTTTCAACCACAAAAATATACAGTCAATTCACTTTACCGTATATTCTGTGAAGTGCCTGTGAATGCTTCTTTTATTAAACTTCCAATATGCATTACCTTGTATTTTTATTGATGCTGAACTGCATCTGCCAATAATCAGCCCGGGTGCCTAACCCCGTCGAAAGCTCTCTCGGCTTCCTTCATTAATACCACGGTCTCTCTTAGGTCTTAGGTCTCTCAACATTCTTGCATTTTGACTCCACGTCACTCACAAACATTAACAACTATCCTTGTGTTCGATTAAGAGCGCCCTTCACACCGGGGGGACACCTCGAAAGCGCTTCACGGGATTTTACTCTGAAGTGCGGCGGCGGCTGTGCGTTTCGTACACTTCGTGTGCATCGTAAAGAGGAATGAGTGACTTTGCTTTATACGTTTGCAGTTAGAAACCGGACTCCGACGTCGCCTTCCTGACGAGCGCACTTTCTGAAGCGTAGACACTGCAATCACCACAATGCCCGTTCACTGTACGTAGCTCCATTGTGTGGAGCTCCATCTTGTGGCCTGGCCAACACCTGAAGGGCTTCAATAACGAGATCCACACCGGGAAGATTTGCTCCATGGAGCTGTTTACACGTTTCAAAGCCCCAGAAGATTAGCATGCGAGGCAGATTCTACCAGCACAGTTCGTCATACCTAATGTATTTATGCAGTTAAATTATTCCGACACAGAAGAACAACAGTCCACCATCTGTCATTGCAGTCTTAGCATCAAGTTGGGCTCCCACTTTTAGCAGGTTAAGATTGCCTGGAGCACAAATAATTCAGAACATTGCCAAGCTGCCAGAAACATCTAACCAACTGTTTATCATCTCCCCCCACCACCCACCCCTCCTAAAGAAAATATTTTATTGGAATTGGCTCGAGTCTTCAAGGCACTGAGAAAAAGTCATGTTATTTATTCAGCTCAAGACAAATTGGCTTCTTCTACCAATTGCCAAACTGTTTCTTCTCTCACCACTCTCTCTTCTCCCCCCCACACCCCCCTCAAAAAAATAATTATGGTAATTTATGGATGTAAAATCCAGACAGATTCTGCGACTCTCTCACATTCAATGTTTCACGTTGCTCTTCCTTAAACCATGTTATTTAAACACTTTTAATGGATTCCAGGAGAAGCCTTCCCCTCCCCACACCCAAAAAGACACCCACAGAAATAGTGTCACAGTTGTCATTACCTGTGGGACTATCCCAATAACTCTCCTTAGGCTATCCAAGCTGACATCTTTGATATTCTGACCAGCCACATAGATGTTGCCATGTTGAGGTTCGTAGAAGCGGAACAGCAGCCTCACAATTGTGCTTTTCCTGAAAGCGACGTAAGAAAAGGTTTGCAGAATTATTGTTCACAATTTATTTATCCAAACAACACTGGGGACTAATAACAACAACAATGACTGTTGACTAATAATAACTTGCATTTGTATAGCACCTGTTAAAAAAAACATTGTGAAAGATTTACAAAATATAATTGATTAGAATTGTGTCGTAACGCTGACTCAGTTAGTAATAGTCTTGCCTCTGACTCAGAAGGTTGCAGGTTCAAGCCCAGTATCGGGACATTGAACTCAGTCTAGTCTAGACACATCAATACAATGTTTGAGGTAGCATCCTTTGGATGAGATGTTCAGCTGAGTTTCTGTCGTCCCATAAGGACATTTTAGTGAATTCCGTGAAGCGCTTTTGAAATGTCCTCCCGACATGAAAGGTGCCTATCAAATGGAAGGATTATTACTATTATTAATAATTTTTTTTGATAATTATAATGATAAATCATTTATTAATAATAGAGGATTTTTATTAATAAGTGAACCTTGATTAAGCAGACAATACCTTATACAAGGACTTCTCAAATGTCCGTAAAGCTGCTAGCTGCACTGATATACAGTGATGGAAGGGGAGAAAGGGGAGCACACACACACACACACACAGGACAAGGTCAGGTATATGTAAAATCATATAATTGAATTCGGTTTCAGACTTTTTGTTAATTAACAGAATAAATGAATGTTTGCATTAATGAACATCTAGAGAGCTTGTGCCCTTACCAGGATACAGATTGGCAGCTGGTAGCATTAGACTTTGATTTCACTCTGACCAAAGCTCCTAGTTTCAGACTGGTCTTTCACCAAAATGTTCAAAACATGTAGCTTTGTGTGTTGTGTTGTGTTGTGAATGATTAAACGCAGCCAGAGAGAAGAGTTTCAAAACACTGGCATTGTGGAGATGCTTTGCTAAATATAATAAATATCGTCTACTCCAGAAAGCAATTATTCAGCTAATCTACATTGCAAAATACCACATTAAAAGTACAAAAGCCCTGGAACAAAGTACAAATAAACATGGTGATATTTTGCAGCCCGCCCTCCCCTCCCTCCCATTTCTGAAATGGATTATGTGTGTCGCTTAGTTAAAAGAGCAAATTTTTTGAACAAGTGAACAATGCATTTGGGAGCACAACATTTATTCCCATGTAGTTACATAGAAACTACACGCAATCTGTGTTCAAAATTATGAAAGACTTCGAGAAGGTGGACATAAAATAGGTTGTTTCCACTTATTGATGAGTCTCATAATAAGGCGGCATAAGTACAAGATAGTCACAAGCAGACCTGAAAGAGTTTAACAGGGAACTTCGGTTATACAGAAGGGGGTGGGAATGTGGAACTCACTACTCACTGATGGAAGCTGTGGTTGAATCAATGGATTCAAGAGAAAAGTTGATGCAGACACAAGAAAGGAATCAAGAGGTGTGGGAGAGGAGATTAGGATGAGTTGATGTTCATGTGGAGAATAAACACAAGCACAGAGTAAATTGGCTAGTTTCAGTGCTGTGAAGTCGAGGTAATTCCACCCGCATAAAATTAAATAGCTAATAGGGAAAAAAACAAAAATAATTAACAGCGAGATATCCCAGTGCACTGTTGATCTGGTCAGTAAACCCTTATAAAAGAAAAAAAATCACTTCAGCGACACGGAACGGAGGAAATTTAATAGAATTTAACCGTTCAAAATTCTTTAAAAATCAATTCGGCTTTTAGGCTTTGGGGAAAAAACTATTAAATCTCCCTCCCCCAAAAATGTATTATTAAAAAGTACATTTGTAAAAATTTAAATCAAAGCAAGTGATGATAGTGACACAAGGGATTTAAATCCACACAGAGGCAGAGACCTGCCTGCAGGGGAGGGTCCGCATTCTGCGGCAGAAGGCGCAGTCGAAGACGAGGGTCTTGAGATGTGCCTTGAAGGAGGCGAAGGAGGCAGCAAGGCGAAGGGACTGAGGGATGGAGTTCCAAAGAGAAAGTCATGAGGCATTGGCTTAATACAATACAACTGAAGCTCTGGGGTCTTGCTGTAGTAATCATGTCCCTGATGAAGAGCGTGCCAAGGGTAGGATGAATTGGAGCCGTTGAGAAAAGGCTTTGTAGATGCAATCCTGCACGTAAAGGTTATGTATGTGCAACACTGAGCCAGGGTACAACTTGCTTAAAGATCCAAGATGTCTGTATCGCAGCTCCATTCTACAACAAGAAGCGCAATTCAACACAAAGCGCGTTCGGTATTTAGGATATTCGACCCAACAAAAATAAAGTGGCACTTAATTTCCATTTTGAACTCCGGTTTCCCAAATGTCTCTTTCATTCAAATTTGGCGGTAATTTGGCCCTTCTTCACGACTCCACACGAACCGAAACAGCACGTTACTCACGCGTCTACTTAAGAGCCACAAACTTTCTCTGGGGAGTCGTGTCTGTCAATGAGGTATTAGCGGTTCGACTGCTAGCGGAGTGAGAGATGGATATTTGTTTAGCAAAAAAAAAGGGATCGATTTGCTCTTGGATTTCCGCCAAGCCCACCAAATTTGGACGAGCACCAAGTTGAGAAGCAGCAGCTGTGCGTCCCTGTCCCAGTGTAGCTGAACACAGTTGCCATGGCAGAGCACAGTGCAAAGAGAAAAGACCGAGGAAGAAAGACTCTCTTAGTTACTACACACCACACAACATTAAATCACTCCAGAGGTGCGTTAACCCGGCCAAACCTGAGGCCACAGCTGCCCTTGGTTTGGAAATGAACCCAATATAAAAATGCTGTGGAAGGATAAGGTGACGTATTGCTTTTTTAATAAAGGAAAATAGTTTGCAAACTTGGGATTTCATTTTTCTCGGCCTTTCAATGTAGATTATATTGGCTCTCATTTCACCGATGTCTATTTTTATCTTTTCATTCCTCGGCTCTGTGCAGCACTCATCCCCATCTCTCTTTTTTTAAAAACAATAACATTCTCTCTCGTTTTCAGTTTGGAACATTGGGGTTGCCGTTTGGGAGATAATAATGATAATCCTTGCATTTGATATAGCGCCTTATAATTTCCCACAAACAGTCGTGAATTGAGTGACTAAATTATCATTTAAAAACATTTTTTTTAAGGGATTAATACCCCTGAAAAAGTGATCCGCCAATTGACTAACAACCGGGTTCCTACTTACTGTTAGTAAACAGAGATGTGTGGAGTAAGGAAATTTGCCTAATGCTTCACCCTGCCCGGGAATCAAACCCAGGTCCTCTCGCTTGCGAGGCGAGTATTCTAACTACTAACTTACAGGATGCAATGGGAACACAAAGGCAAAGGTGGCAATGTACAATGCACAGTGACTTGAGTGAGAGCAGCTACAGAAGATTTTCTATTCTTCACAGAATTTTATAAACTAATAAAAAAAACCTTCATTTGAATGGTACAAAGGTTGACTGTATCCAACGATATATCACACGATATTAATTGACTGTTTGCGAGACCTCGCTTTGTGCAAATTGGTTGCTCCGTATATCTACAAAACCGATCATCACACTTGACAGTAATTACACATCAAGTACTTTTGCCATTTCAACATCATAGGTGCTGTGTCAAATGCAACTAATATTACTGTGAAAGTATTATTATTGTGAAAGAAAGATGGGAATGTAAGTGGCGTTGTTGGAGATGGGTTTTAACTGCAAGTACTGTGTTTAAAATCGAAAACCAAGGCAGTCAGAAAAAGTAGTAGCAATTGGTCGGTCAGCTGTGGTGCAGCTTAGAATATTACGTATTACAGTACATTCATTGACTTGCCTGTACACTGGCCTCGAAAGCGATTTGCTGCATTAACATGTTTCTGCTTCACCCATACATAACAGTCAGTTCAGTGCCTTACTCCCAGCTCTTACTTGCATCTGAATCAGGCATCCTGCACTGTGCAAGTAAATAATTACCTGGTAAAATATGACTGTCACTTTGAATGCTTTTTCACAGACACACTGTACTCTGTGGGAGATGGATTGGTGGAGGGGTTGGAGCGGAGAATGCTCAGACACTTTAATGGAGTGCCTTATAACAGCTCCATGGCAATTTTTGTTTTTTAAAATGTGGAAAATGGAGACAAAAAGAGAGCGATTTTGGAAGCAATTTTTAGCACTTGCGCTGCCCAAGTACAATTAAATCACATCCATATCTTAACAGCAAATCCAGAACACTGCGGCATTAAAAAAAAAATGATTGGCCGGTGAAGAGGACCAAATGCACTGAACGCTTGCTGTTTGGAGATCAGTCCGAGGATTCAGAAGGGTTCAGTTTGAATGCTCAAGTCGACTGATACACAATCAGCAGAGAACCAGCAAGAACGTTGGTAAATGGCAAAACGTTGGGAACGGTTTCAGATAGAAACCGAGACATTTTCAGCCCAGGAGGAAGCCATTCTGTGCAACTGTTACCTCGGCACACAGAATGATATGGGGGATGGAAACAGGCCACTTGCCAAATTGCCCCTCTTTCGTGACAACAGCAGGAATCAACAAGAAACAGCCTTCAAATCTCACATCACCAACGCGATATTCTTGTATATAAGTACAACTTGCATTTATATAACGACTCTTCAAAAAACAAAGCAGAGTAGCGCCCCAGAGCATTTCACAGTGGCGGAGTCTGGCAACGAGCCAGGGAGAGAGGGAGGTGACCATAAGCAGGGTCGAAAAGGAAAGTCTTCAGGCAGTCTATTAAAGCTTCCACCCGAAGATCACAATTGTAAAGGAATCTGTTACCATCACCTACCCTGAGCCACTGCCTCCCACGATGGCTACTTTCTTCCCAGCAAGGACTTCAAATGAGACCCCATTGAGGACTTTCTGCCCGTCGATGTACTGGAAACAAACATCCTCGAAAGTGATGGTCGCGGTCTGTGGTTCAATCTGAAGAACAGGCGCCATATTCTTTTCCTACAAACAGCAAATTCAAAAGGAAAAAAAGACACACACATCCCAGGGAGTTACAACACAGTTTTTTTCATGTAGTATGAAAACAAATCAGCAGTAAACTTACCTTGATTTTGAACTGAATGTAAAACGGTAAAACATTCATTGAATGGGGCAACCGTCATCTGGCTTGCAATCCCCAAAGTGGTGCATTGGCAAATAGCAAAACAATGGTTTTGAATAGCAACACAGAGATTTTTAGCACAGAAGGAAGCCATTCTGAGTGACTTTTACCTCTTCACACAGAATGACAGAGGATGGAAACAGAGCACTTGCTGAACTGCACGTCTTTTATGACAATACAAATTATTTACACAGCGCCTTTCACGTCAGGAACATGGCCCAAGGCTCTGGACAGTCAGGGATTTAGACCTGAGCAGGAGGTTGGGATAAGGAGGTGTAGAAGGCAGGGAGGATAGGGGTAGGAGGGTAACTGACTGGGATGACTAATCCCATTTACAGCCATTTCCCTGCATCCCTTATTATTGCGTGCAGCCAAATGTATATCATACGATTTCAGGTAAAAGAAAATGCCCAACAGCGCTGGTTCTTTAACACTCCAGGATAACAACAACTTACCTTGATTTTTGGGTCAACATCCAGCAAAGTAAACAGCGTGTTCATGTCAATCAGAGCCTGTCGGGTCTCTCTGTACACAGTGCCCAGGAAATTTAGGGGGAGAGACAACTGAAAGAGCAGACCGTTCACCATAACTAGGTCTCCTACAGTTAGGGTACCTGCAAGAGGATAAAATCCTGAAGTAAGTTTCTATGGATTCCCCCAAAAAATGTTTTTTTAAAGAAAAGTTTCATGGAGAAAGACAGTCTTCTAATGTCACATCACTAACGTGATACTCTTGTATAAAAACTTCCACCTGAAGATCACAATTGCAAACTGCATTGCTGAAAGAAATCTATCACAATGAATGTAATAATACTCCTTGCATTTGATATAGCGTTATAGCGCCTTTCCACATCGTTGAGACGTCTCAAAAGTGCTTCACAGGATATGCTGTAAAGTGGAATGAAAGTGTATTTTGTGGGCAAAAGCGTGGCAGCCAATTGCACACAGCAGTGTATGTAGTGAATGTAGGTAGCACAAGAGGCTTTTACACCAGCTGTTAATGTAGAAATGTTGGATAAGCACCTTTCCAGGTGCTCGGTGCTAAGCTGTGCTCCTATGAGAGACACGCTGTCAGCGCCCGAACAGCTCTCTTTCACTCAAGACCCTACCTGGTACATCGTCAGCAAGTTAACATGAACCATCTTCTAATGCAGAGGACGCCAAAAAAAAAAAGGGCATTGGTGTGAAGTATGTTTTACAACACAGATGTGAATCTCTCTCCACCCCGTTGCAAGCCCGCCCACCCATATGTAACCGCTCACTGTAAGGTTTTGGGAGCTTATAAAACTTCGAACCGATTGCGCTTTGAATGCAGCGGTACCTGCTAGGATCTCCTTGCTTGCAAGCACCATGATTCCAGTCAGGCCCAGGCTGAAGATAAGATTCTGTCCAAAGTTCAACAAGGCCAGGCTGGTGGTGGTTTTCAGTGACGAAACTTCGTAGGTCTTCAAGAAGTTATCGTATCGCTCGGCTTCATACTTTTCGTTGTTGAAATACTGTAAGAGGAAGTAAAGATGGGATTCCTTTGCCGCTGAGCCAAGCACGGTCATCATACAGGCTTGATAATAATAATCCTTGCATTTGACATAGCACCTTGTCACGTCGTTGAGACGTCGCAAAGCGCTTAACAGAATATACCGTAAAGCGGCTTGACTGTGTATTTTGTGGGCAAAACGGAGCAGCCAAACACGGGAACCAATGAAAAGCTTAAACAGTGGAACGTGTGAGGCCCATCTTGTGCTGCCGGATTTATAGTTTGTTCCATTATTTCATGATAAGTCTGCAGCACAGATAATTTTATTAAACAATAGCGGGGAAAGAGAAAAGGAAGTTAATTTACAACACTTCAAAGCCTTACACATGCTCTACCTTAGATACAGGATGCCCGGGACCCCATAAGCGCGAGTTGTGCTACTTTACCTTCACAGTCTCGTAATTGAGCAGCGAGTCGATGGCAGCGTTACCTGCGTCATTATCGGCTTTGTTCATTTCGATCCTGAACCGAGTCCTGCAGATGAGAAATGACACTGGAGCTGTAAAGCCATTGCATCAAGGCACTGATGTGTATGAAGTAAAACCGTGAAAACCTTCAGTCTCAACTAATTTAACGTTTGACAGTACCTCCACTGTGTGACGCCAATGGTGAAAGCTGCATAAGCTGCCAATGTCCCCAGGGTTATTAATGCATACTGGGCACCGCACTGATAATACTGTGAAGAGAAGGCGTAAGAAAAACACACACATTAAACGTGAGCACTTTCCAGCTCATAATTCAATGCTTCCAGCAGTCAAAAAAACACTGGTCTTTTGCTCAGTCTGTGATACTTAATGACCAACTCTGGGAAAGGGCAGACACTCCAAGGCTGAACATGAATTATGCATTCCTACAGCGTTCATTTGGGCCGTGTGTTTATGCATAAATGCTCTTATTAGGGACACTGAGTCCCGATTGCTGTAGAATTGTGTTTCAGCTTCAATTATAACCTCCGAGCAACATTTTTTTTTGCAGCGAATTGTATTAGGCGCAGCTTTTCACACCAATGCCCGTCGTTCAAAAAACACAAGGCAAATGCTTAAAAATCACACAGCAGTCCAAAATGTAGCATCATCACAATATAATTGCACATTATCGTTTGCAAACAGTCAACTTCAACTCAGGCTGTGCTACCTACACTGATAATCTCTGCTTGCTCACCACTCCCATATTTTCTGCTGATGCCAACCTCTGCCAACATTTCTTCTGTCAGCAGACTATCTGAAGCTGCAGTGTGTGTGGAAATGCACTGTTACGATCTTACTTTTGAGTTTCGCTGAGATTGTAAGTTCTGCTGTTTCACAGCGGGGACTAGCTGAGCAGCGGAGACATGCACCCAATGAGAGTAGCGACAGCCAATGCTGGGATTTTAATTTTAATTTGTGTTGAATGGGTGGGGGGAGGGGGGGGTTAGGACACTGCTCCACCATTTAATCAGAGACTTTGAACAAGGAACCCAAACAACAACAACTTGGATTTATGTAGCGCCCTCCACGCCGGACGGCATCTCAGAGCCACAAAGTGGCTTCCGAGAGAGCAATGCTGATTGATTTCTTTAAAATTGGTTTGGTTTCTTCATAAAAAAAATTCAGCCTGCATCTACTGAACAGCATCTCTCAATAGGAACTGCTTAACAAGGTCATGTTGCAGTGGGTTAATGCGCAGTGAGCGATATGATGGGAGAATCCAGACCGAAACCTTAGAGATGAATAACTTGGGTGATGAATAGTACTAATCCTTGCATTTGATACAGCGCTTTTCACGTTTTCGAGACGTCTGAAAGCGCTTCACAGAATATACTGTAAAGTGAATTGTTTTGTAAAGTGTATATTTGTGGGTAAAACGCAGCAGCCAATTGTGCACAGTAGTGTCTCACAAACAGTCGTGGATTGAAAATGACCAATTTATTATTGTTTTGATTTGGAATGCAGTATCCCTACACCATGGGAAAGAAAATACAAGTGAATAAGTCACTCGAGGCAGCACTTAACCATCATTAGTCAGACAGCAACACTGTCAAGAGAGGGCTTAACAGCAGGCTGCTAGTGTGGGCTGATGATAGTGTACATTGATGCCTGAAAACTGGGGAGAATGTGCATTAAAAGCGACTTTGATAAAAGACGGTGCTCCCATTAAGAGATTTCTGCTCTAGCAACCCGGTTGGAAACGGACTGCTGCATCATTCGGTGCAGGCAATGTTGGGCAGGATCACCAGAGTTCAGCTCCAGCATATCACATGGCCGTGTGGGTTAGTTACTTACCAGAAGGCTGCTGACGAGGGCCACCTCAAAGATAGTGGGGCCCAGGTTGAACACTAATGCACTCAGCACAAAACTGATTCCCCTTGTCCCTCGGTCGATGGCTTTGGAGAGAGCGCCGGTCTGCCTGCTTAGGTGGAAGCCTAGATCTAAGCTGTGCAGGTGCAAAAAGACGTTCTTGGCTATTCGCCTGATGGAACTTTGAGCTACTTTCCCAAAGACAGCATTCCTAAGCTCATTAAAAAGGGCTGAACCCACCCTCGACACACCATCTGCAAGGAAAGTTACGATAGATTTGTTTTATATTCAGAGAAAAAACAAACTATCTTTAATACTGCTTCCCACAGAAAAAGCATGGATTATAAGGAATAAGGGACACAATTATTTCACTTTCTTAACCTTATAAAACCAATTCTATTCATAAAATTTAAGATTGCGCAAAGTAATAACGGATTAGAAATTCTTAAATGTCACCTTAGTTTGAATGCCAGTTTTCTTAACAAAGAAAATAACTGGATTTCAATCGTATTAACACTAATTCCTGCAGTTGTGCACAAACTTACATTTCCAAGAGAAAATGGATTTACACTGACATTATTAGGTGTAACGTCTGGCTTCCGATTTGTTACATTGCCCTCAAATTATGCACTCATTATTTTTATCATGAGAATTGTGGTTGCATGTGTGTGCGCGTTTATACATCAGCGTGGTTTTTAAACACACTACACACACACACACACATATATACAGACACACACAAAAAAGACATTGTTTTACTTACTGCACTGGCAGCAAGGGAGTCAACATCTGTCAAGCAAATTAAAACATTTGACTTACAGCCGATAAGGATGGCCGTTGTCATGGTGATGACCGTATTCGTAGCGTCGTTTAGGTTCAAAACGCCACCTGACATTTGGTTGAGTTCATTGACTGCATATTTAAATGTGAAGGGCACCACTATATTCATCAGCTGCAAAGACACAAGAGCAAACATCACAAAGGAAGAATGCTGTAACCTGGTGAATAAAGATGACGGATTTAAAGCTCCCTCAATAATGGTCCTGGAGGCATTTTGAAATGTCAAGTCCTTAACGCTGTAAAAAGTTGGCAGTGAAGATTTAATTCGCTGCAACGTCTCATAGCTGGCAGCTAATCCTCGTGGTATCATCACAGCAGTGCTGTATTTACACATTTGTTTTCGACAACAAAAGAACTTGACAGCTGCAGCGTCTTAAACATATATGAAAGCATGCAGTTGTGCCTTACTTGTCTACCTTTATTAGAGGAATACATCCATACCTGTAGTGTACAAGGCATTTATTTCAGTATTACATCTCATCGTTGAACAAGCCAATATTTCCAGGCTGGTGCAGGTATGTACCTGCTAGTTTTTTTTATATAAAAACAAACATTATATAGAAACGATATATAGAAATATTGACATCCCATTTGTTGCTGGCAATGAATGCTTTTAAACCCATAAGCAACATAAAGTCATTGCATTTCTTACTAACTTGATATCAATGACAACTGAGAGACAGAACAGCTTAAATACAGCGCAAAACTATAACAGCGACAACATCAATCACTTGAATTTATATTGGCTTAAAGTGATAAGTTACGGGTGCATGTCACATGCTTAAAATTAAACTACTTCGCCTATTGCATACATTGATACTGAACCAGACCCCATGAACCAGTGGGAAAATGTATCCACGAGATCAAAACGCACAAGTGGATTTTGGTGCAAACATCTTATCCAATTTTTACCACTGAGTGAAGGGGTTATCTGGCAGTCAATTTACTGAGATGCCCAATTAACAGATTAGCAAGCGCACTGTGTATACAGATTGCAACACTATGCATTTAAAGTCAAAATTATACACAAGAGATCAGGCTTCCTCAGAACAGATTGGGGGTGGGGGTGGGGGTGGGGGGGGTGATTGCTGCCACCTCCTTAAATTGTGGTACACACATCACTAGAGTGACGGCATTCTTTCATAAACATAGTGAGTTGGAACAAAAGAGCGTGAGGTCGAGAGAGTGCGAGAAATATGTTTGGAAGACTACAAATTATCAATTCATGTCAGCATTTAAAATAAAGGCAACCACAGTGCTTGCATTAAAAAAAATTATCCATTCATGTGCAGAACAGAGAACGCCACACTGTGCTGTATAATGAGATTTAGTCCAGAAGGATGCAAGATCAAATTGCTTCGGGGCAATGCAGTCATGTGGATATTATGTAAATCATGCTCCCAAGTGAATGAAACTAGTATTTCAGGGCACAAGGTATACAGTTAATTTCATAATCACTTTTCATAACTGTAAATAAAATACCAGCGTGGCTCTGGAAAGTAGCGTTAATGAGTAAAAATTACACATTCGACCAGAAAGAGGTTTCAGCAATAATTGGGACAGGTTGCAGGATTCTGCCATAATGAGACATTACAAGACTTATAATGCCCAGCTTGAGCAAGGCAAACTTGACAACACTTTGTACACCGAGATTTTTCAGTAAATAATTGAAAACGGTAAACTTCTCTGTTGACATTGGATATGCAGATTAAAGCTTCTCATTCTTTTCAAAACAATAAAACTCTCTTCCTTGGTTACGTCTCCTCTCCCTCCTCTCCCCCCCCCCCTCCACCCCACCTCATTTCACACACAGCTCGACGCACAGGGAAAGCAAACAACTCGCTTTGAAGGCTTCTGCTAATGCTCCACCACTCGCAGCTTCCGATCGGACATGCGACACTGACTCAGGGTTGCGCTTTTCCCTCAAATCAAATCCTCCCTTTGCTCTTGATCCTCACTTGGGTGTTTTGTTTGCAGGTGCAAAGCCACTTTCTTCTCCAAGTTCCATTGCATCTTTGTCCTGTTTTCTCCTGTACTCATCTTCTGAAGACATGGCCTCTCACTGCGGTACGGTTCAGTAGAGGCCGACAGCTTTACAGTAGCCATCGCCGGCAGCAATTTCTCCTCTATGGACTTAAGACGGAGGGTTGGCAGAGTGTGCACGCACCACTGATTACTTCTCCCTGTGCCCAAACCAAATCCTGGCCCAATGTTTTGTCCGCTAACATTCTTTCCCAACACTGCAAGACTGTGTTATGTTTTATTTTCCCCTGGTCTTTCTTTCCTCCTAAAATCTGCTGAATGTTTAAAACTCAAGCTCAGCTAACCACCAATTTCACTCTCTCTCTCCTGGCTTTTATTTTTCACCTGAGTGGTGCCTTGCACTGGGTTCCTCAAAGTATTCTTTTGTTCTATTCATTAGAGTTGGGCATTTTTTTCTTCTTGTTATTGAATATCTCTGTTGAAACAGCGAGTGCTAATTACATCATCAGGGTTGGAAAGGTTAAGGAGCCAGTCCGTGTGAGCGAACGCTGAATTATCCGTGGGTGTATTTCCACTAATGATATTTCAACTCCCTGTTGGCTTGACTCCTTCAAGCTGCTACTGCCAATATCAGCTATAATAATAATCCTTACATTCAATATAGCGCCTTATCACATCTTTGAGACGTCCTAAAACGCTTTACAGAATATACTGTAAAGTGAACTGACTGTATATTTTGTGGGTGAAATGCGGCAGCCAAATGCGCACAGCAGTGTATCAGATGTCACCATTATAAGCACCCAAATAGTGACCATTGTACCTTTATACACATCAACTCCTTCCTGTCCTTTACAGGAGAGGCTCATTCAGACACTCAGTAGGTGAATGTCACTGGCTGGGAAAGTATTTGCTGAAAGGACAAGCTTCTAAAACAAAATTAATTAAGGCTCTCGTACAGATCTACGTTTAGATACAAATTACTAACCTTTGCGCTCACTAAAAGACCAAGTGATACCGCCACTCTTGCTCGAAGATCAGGTCTATCCTTTGGCCACACATGTGATAGCATGGCCTTCAAGATTTTCCCAGAGCCAGCCTCTTTGAACTGGAACAAAAATATATACATATATATTTTAATTATTACCCTTTTTATAATATAAAATCTATTTAGCCATCGTGCGGATTCTTTGGTGAATCATTTTGAAACTAAACCTCAGTTATAACCTGGATTATAACCAAATTAGAGCAGGTGGCTTTCACTCGATTCTACGAAATGTGCAGATTTTCATCACAATTTTGAGCTGTAAAGGCGAAACATGAATCAATGGCATGGATTTACAAACAAAAGTTTTTTATTTTAATTGGCAAAAATAACTATCAATTCAACACACAGCAATTGTTGTAGTTCTAAGCATAGCTCAGTCAGGGATATCTGTGGGTTGCTCACAAACAGACAGATACTCTGTGCCTTGCGTGTTACCTACATAAATGACTGCTAGCATTGTTTAGACTGAAGGCTTTCTCGCTTGTCAAATATGACCCAGGGAGGACTGGGGCCATATTTAGTGGAAAGGAAAGACGTTTGACAGTACTTTTGAACAAACGCCTCCGACAATGCTCCTATTTCAACAAATGTGGCACTTAAAGATAATGAATTGTGGCTGAGTGACTGAAGCAAGATTACCACAACGGTTTGCACTTGCAGGTTTTGATTGCAGCAGTTACTAACATCACACTTAAAATATTTAAATTCGCTCCCAGCCCGTGCTATGTTTTCTTCTCTGGCCGAGACACCAGGCGCAGGCACATCTACAAGGCACCAGCAATACTGCTCTGTGTCCAGTGATGAAATAGTAACTCGCTTTTATCTTTTCTCCACATGCGGAAATGCACTCCACAGTAGAGTGAATCCAGTTACGCCCAATCCTTCTCCCACCCCAAAGACAATATCCTCCTATAAAGTGTAATTACGCACAAGATTTTAAAGGCAAAGAAGTTATTAAATCGGCTGCATTTTGTACACTGTCAAAACTCCATACAATGGTTACCTTTTGAGGGTCAGTGTGAAGGTTTCCGCCTGCGTTCCCATGCCAGCATGTTCGTTTATCTACCAGCTGCCACCAATGGAGTCCCTAAAATAAATCCAAAGGATTATCATTAGTCACGTGCTACATTTCCTAAACGAAAAATCGATCCAAGGCTTGGATAAGAATTTGTGAACTGTCCTGAAAGTTTCTATTCAGTTGTTAAACTTCTGCCTCTTAAAGTTCCAAGTTGTTGCTGTTGTATACTTGAGAACGCGTTCTGAAAAAGCATGCATGTGCAAAACAGCCTTTATTTTAACCATACTCACAATGACAGTGAAAAGGCAGGCATAAGCACTCAATAAACCTCAATATAACACGGTCCTCTGGGCCTAAGAGCTCAGAGGGTGTGCTTTAAGTGAAGCGCAATAAAATGGCCAACTTCCAGGGCATCAGCAATGTCACTTCCTTTACAAAGTGGCATCAGAGATCCTTCCTCTGCGCAAAGGAAGTGATGCCAGTTACTGATCTGACGAGCCGGACGTTGACCATTTCATAGCTGGCCAGACAATGAGCAGGGCTCTGCAGCCCACTTGTCAAAATATCGCAGTGCTTTATAGCAACTATTGTTTCGTGTAGTGACTTGTTTTTTGAGGGCAAAGGATTTTTTGAAGGCTGTGGATTATTAAGTATAATTCAAAGGCTTTATATATTAAGGGAAAGATCACATTGAGGTGTACAGTGCACAGGTCAGGTCTGCAAACTAGTGGAACAGCCGTTCAATCATTCTTACAGACAATATTTGAAGTCTGTATATAGCAAGACTAATTTAGAAGAGCCTGACAGGTGCCCTCACATTCTTGGGAGAGTCACTCATGCCATTATTTCCCAGATTGCAGAAATAATAGTGCACATTTAACAAGATATCTGGTTATTCAGCCTCACATTCTAAGCTCTCATTCCACCTGCACCACTATGTGCGTCAGACATCATTCCTCAGACACACAATTAAAAATACATGAGCTGTCCACTGAATAAGGTCCAAGCAATTCACTAATGATTTTAAAGGTCAAGCAGTCAAAGTTTCAACACCATTTCCTCTTGCCTAGCAATGTTTCATGTCGTGCTCTGTAGAAGTGACCGTTATTAAAAAAAACTTCAATAACAGAAATTGCCGAAAGTGTGACTTTTGAGACTACTTAAATTATACGTTGATTAACAGATGTTCACAGTTAGTGACAGCTCCCTACCTTTTAACCTTACCTTGCTTGTGCTATTCTCCCACCAGTTACAATTATGCCCTATGCTCGGAGATCACAATTTAATCTCCATTTTCTACCGATTCCTTGATGTACAGCTAGCCACACTATATAATGCATTTACCCAGTGAGCCACAAGGGAAAGGGCAAGCCATAAGGACAATGAAAACTTAAAGACTCCATTATTTTAAAACACTTAAGGCCTGAAATTTTCACATAGTCAAGCTATAAGACCACTTAAATTTGAAATTGTGCAGAATTGCAGAAAATTCTTAAAATCCTGATTTAATTTGAAAACAGATTCTTTGAGAATATTGGAAGACCAGTTTCTAGATTAATATTCTAAACTGTAAGACAATACACTGTCCGCCCTCCCCACCTCGTATTATTGCCAGCAAGGATTCAGGGCAGAGGAAAGTAAATTCATCGTATCTACCTTTCCAGCTTGCAATATCTGCCTTGCATTTCCTCCTCTGTGACTGTGCCATGTTCCATGTCTTGCACGTGTCAGAAAAGCCTAGAAAAAGCAGAGGCAAACTAAATGAGACCACAAAGTGGTTTGGATAAAGAAAGCCCTTCGGCCCATTTGTACTCTTATTGCACTATACGCATAAATTACTGTACTGATGCCATCTTTTCATGATACCATGTTCCACCCAAAATATTCATGATGTTCACAGCTACAGCCCAACAGACATGCTTCTTCGTATTTAGTGAGACCAACTAATCACACACACACACACACAAAAAAATCTGGGTTGTAGATTTAAATAGTTAGTGAAGCATTGGTCACAAACTGAGAAGAACAAATAACTCTGACACCTAATAAACAGTCGAAACGAAGGAATATATAATAATCCTTGTGTTTGATATAAAGCCTTATCACATCGTTGAGATGCCTCAAAGCGCTTTACTGTAAAGCGTAGTGACTAAGTATTTTGTGGGTGAAACAATAACCAATTGGCACAGCAGTGTCTCACAAACGATAGTGGATTGAGTCACCATTTTTTTTTTTGAAGAGCTTATTGCCCCCGAAAAGCGATCCACCGATCGACTAACAAGTGGGTTCCCACTAACTGCTGGGTAAACAGTCATTTAATAGGACTTTGGATACTGCACATTGTTAAAAGCATCTAAAAATCACAAATTCTCTTTCAACCTGCCTAAAGGTGGTGTGATCCTTCTGCAACAGAGCGCAGATATTTCTCAAGCAGCCTCAAAATACACAGCCAGAGTTTAAAGTCTAGAGTCCTGGACTTTCATCACAATAACCTGTACTTTTATAGCACCACTTGTGAAGAAGATCGCAATGTGCTGTCCATGGATACTGTGGGACGTCATGCATGGGGGGGGATGAAGGTGGTCGGAGGAAGATGACATGGTCAGAGATAGTTTTCGGTTGTACAGTCCACCTCACCAAGTCAGGTGGGAACCCAGGCGTCTTGTTTGACTCTCAACTGTCCTTTCTCCCCCATATCCGCGCCATGACCTGCTCTGCCTTCCCCCACCTTCGCAACATTGCCCGACTCGGCCACTGCCTTACCCCTCAGGCCGCTGGAACCTCATACATGCACCTCACCTCAAGGCTCGACTACAGAAACTCCCTAACTCTTTCCTCCACAAGCTGCAAATCCACAAGCTGCTCATGTCCTCCCTGCACCAGGCTCCGTAACCCCATCACCCCCACCCTCGCCCGGCTCCCCATCCCTCAGAGGATAGAATTCAAAATCCTCGTCCTCACTTTTAAGGCCCTCCACGGCCTTGCCCCCTCCTACATCTCTGACCTGCTGACCCCCTATCAATCTGCCCACTCCCTCCCCTAAGCAGGCTCCTTTAATTCCTGGAACCAAAGACGAAGGTTTAAACGCCAAAATGTATGTAAAACGCTTGCCTTTCAACTGTGCTATGGTATGAGTCCTGAAACACCTTCCATCAAAGTTTGCACATGGTAACCAAGCAGCCACTCACCGAAACTCTCTCCCAAAGTCCTACCACCTTGGGTCAGTAAAATCTTATTTGAGCAGGACTTTGGTCAGCGTCCTCAAACTCCCCCGACTTTCCTCAGCGCTCACAATCCTTGTAGTAAAACACTTCATTCTCTCTCTGCAGCAGCTGAAGTCTCAGCCCTTGCTTTGTTATTCTTCCTCACGAGTCTCAATTATGCCCAATGCCACTCGCTGGTCTCAGTGTGGTGGTGGGGGTGGTGGGGGTTGAGGGGAGAGGGGGGGGGGGGGGTAAGACGATGAGCGAGAGATGAGAGCGAGGAGGGTAAGTAAGTGAGGGTCGGTGAGTGGGTAAAGAGGAGGGGGAGGGAGGGAAGGGAGTAAAGAGGAGAGAGGGTGAGTAACAGTGAGGGGGGGGGTCGTGCGAGGAGGGGGAGTGCAAGAGGGGGGGAGTGCGAGGGGGGGAGGGGGGAGGGGGAGGAGGAGGGGGGTGAGGGTGAGGAGGGGAGGGAGTGCGAGGAGGAGGGGGGAGTGCGAGGAGGAGGGGGGGGAGTGCGAGGAGGAGTGGGGGGAGGGTGAGGAGGGGGGGAGTGCGAGGAGGAGTGGGGGGGGGAGGGCGAGGAGGGGGGGGAGGGCGAGGGGGGGGGGGAGGGCGAGGAGGAGTGGGGGGGAGGGGCGAGGAAGGGGGGAGGGCGAGGAGGGGGGGGGGGGGGAGGCGAGGAGGAGTACTCACGGAGCTGATGCTGTGGCGGTTGCTCCCCCGGTGTCCGTCGCTGCGGCCCGGCCCGCTGCTGAGGGTGTAGGCGGAGACCGGCGGCCGGAGCAGGGCCGCCAGGAGCCGCCGTCTCGGGAGCGGGAGGCCGAGGCCGCACAGCAACAGCGCCGCCATCACCGCTCAGCACTGTGGGAGCGGAGGTGACGCACCAGCCACTTCCGGTCTGAACCTGAACCAACCACGTGACAATAGTGAACAACTGCTGTCACAGGGACAAACCGTGCAGTAGTGAGCAGAGCCCTGCGATAGTGAGCAGAGCCCTGCAATAGTGAGCAGAGCCCTGCAGTAGTGAACAAGCCCTGTAATAGTGAGCAGAGCCCTGCAATAGTGAACAAGCCCTGCAATAGTGAACAAGCCCTGCAATAGTGAGCAGAGCCCTGTAATAGTGAGCAGAGCCCTGCAATAGTGAACAAGCCCTGCAATAGTGAGCAGAGCCCTGCAGTAGTGAACAAGCCCTGTAATAGTGAACAGAGCCCTGCAATAGTGAACAAACCCTGCAGTAGTGAACAAGATCTGTAATAGTGAGCAGAGCCCTGCAATAGTGAACAAGCCCTGCAATAGTGAACAAGCCCTGCAATAGTGAGCAGAGCCCTGCAATAGTGAGCAGAGCCCTGCAATAGTGAACGGAACCTGTGACTGAACCAATAACAGACAATCCCGGTGACAGTGAGCGAGGGAAGGCGGTCTCTCCCGGGGTACCGGACAGCAGTGCCCCCCCCCCCCCCGCGCCCCCCAAATGCAATGCTTGCGGGACGTCGCTGTAGGCAAACTGCCGCTGCGGGTCACCCACAAAAACAGCAGCTCCTCTCTCTCGGGTCAGGAGGGGCGGACGGCCCAAGGCACTGGACAGTCAGCGATCCGCACACTGCCACCCGCCTGCGAGACGATCCGCCCGTGACAATCTACGGCTGAAAGGTCGAATAGAGGGACGGTCGGGATCGTTTTCACTTGAACCAAAGGCAAGGATTGCCGACATTTACCGATCCCCGGCGGCTCTACCCCAAACTTCACAAAGGCGCTCCGCAAAGCTACCTTGCGGTAAAGCGTCGCGACTTTCGAGCGCTGGCAGCCACGCGGGAAGAGTTTCTCGTTAACTTGTTTTACTGGCAGGAAAATGTGCTCCTTTTACAGTGAGAGAGACACACAAACAGACGTACACACAGACACACACGCACAGACAGACACACACACACACACACAGACAGTCAGACACACACACAGACACACACACAGACAGACACACACACACACACAGACATACACACAGACAGACACACACACACAGACACACACACCCACAGACAGACAGTCAGACACACACAGACAGACAGTCAGACACACACACAGACAGTCAGACACACACAGACACACACACAGACAGTCAGACACACACACACAGACAGACACACACAGACACACAGACAGACACACACACACAGACCCACAGACAGTCAGACACACACAGACAGACAGTCAGACACACACACAGACAGACAGTCAGACACACACACACACAGACAGTCAAACACACACACACACAGACAGACAGTCACACACACACACACACATAGACAGTCAAACACACACACACAGACAGTCACACACACACACAGACAGACAGACAGACAGACACACACACAGACAGTCAAACACACACACACAGACAGACAGACACATCACCAGGACCAGCAGGTGGAGCTAGGAGAAGAGACAGGCAACAGAGAAACGTGGGTCTGTCTCTCTCTCTCTCTCTCTCTGTCTGTGTCTGTCTGTCCTTCTGTGTTAAATATATTTAGAGAGGGGGGAGTGTGGGGGGGAGTGTTGGGGGGGGAGAGGACATCGGGATCTGAGAGAAGGGCTTTTGCTCTTTTCTTATGGAAACGGATTATTTCTCCCCTCTCGACAACAACAACAACAACAACATGCCCTGCCACAACGCCACCCCCACCCCACAGCAGCAGCTGAGCCGCCCCGAGCAGAGCAGCCCCCCCCCGCCCAAACAGGTCAGGTTCGCCCCCCCCAGCCCCAGCCCCAGCCCCAGCCCGGAGGGGACTCCCCAGCCCGGACCCCAACTCAAGCTCCTGCCCATGAACGATCAGATCAGGGAGCTTCAGACCATCATCAGGGACAAGTAAGTAAGGGGGGGGGGGGGGGGGGGAGAGGGGGGGGAGGGGTGGGGGGGGAGAGAGTGGGGGGGAGAGGGGTGGGGGGGAGAGGGGTGGGGGGGAGGAGGGGGTGGGGGAGAGAGAGGGGTGGGGGGGGAGAGAGAGGGGTGGGGGGAGAGGGGATGGGGGAGAGAGGGGGGGGGAGAGGGGGAGAGAGGGGGGGGGAAGAGAGAGGGATGGGGGGAAGGAGAGAGAGGGATGGGGGAGGGGGGGGGGGGAGGGAGGGGGGGAGAGAAGGAATGGGGGGGGGAGAGAGGGATGGAGGGGAGAGAGAGAGGGATGGGGAGGGAGAGGGGGGGTGGGGGGAAAGGGGAGAGAGAGGGAGATGGGGTGGGGGAGAGAGGGCAACAGGGAAGGAGAGAGGGGGGGGGGAGTAGAGTAAGAAGGAAATGCAGCCATTGCGACCGATTTGTGGCCTCTTTTCTTTTAATAAAATAAAGAGAGGGAGGGGTGGGGTGTGTGTGGGTGGGGAGGGGTGGGGTGGGGTGTGGTGTGGGGGGGGTGGGGTGTGTGTGGGGGTGTGTGTGGGTGGGGGGGTGTGGTGTGGGGGTGTGTGTGGGTGGGGTGGGGAGGGGTGGGGTGTGTGTGGGTGGGGGTGTGTGTGGGGGGGGGGTGGGGGGAGGATTGCAGCCTCCAGGCCTCCTCTTGGCTGCAGACAGTGGCACAATGTGCAGGATATCCGTTTGCTCTCACAGAGAAGGCGAGGGATTAAATAAAATACACTGCAAACACTTCCTTTTGTTCACACACAGACAGACAGACAGAGACACAGACAGACAGACAGACACACACAGACAGAGACACAGACACACAGACACAGACAGACACACACACACAGACAGACTGACACACAGACACACACAGACAGACAGACACACAGACAGACACACACACACAGACAGACAGACAGACACACACAGACACACACCACAGACAGACACACACAGACAGACAGACACACAGACAGACACACAGACAGACACACTCCCCAGTTAAACAAACACGTTTCATTTCCATGTGGGATTTCATGATGACAACAAGTGGTGGTGCAATCCCATCACCATTTACAGCAGTGCAGTGCAGTTTTATAGCATAGCTTATGATTTTAAACACACACACACACAAAAAAAAATGCCAAGTATGTACATTGTGATTATCTCTCCCCCCAAAAAAACTCACACCCACACACACACACACACACACACAGTGAGACAACAACAAAATGAAAGCTCGACAAAAACCATGGTTTTTCTGCCAGAGTTTTGAACAGGTTGAGTTGTAAACCCTGGACCTCTGACTCCCAACCACCCACGAGCAGTTGTTGTTATTATTATTATTATTATTATTATTACATTTTGCTACCAATCCCCCCTCCCACAGTAACAATTTCCTGCAAAATAGCGTCGTTTGATACAATTCCCCCAAACCGCAGGACCGAACAAAACTCAAAACTCAAAGCAGTGCCCCACAGACTGCAGCTGTTCTGTGTTTTCTGATAATATTTACACGAAAGAAACGTTCTCGTACCAGTCTCTGGATTGGTAACAACACTGTAAATCAAACAGATTGCGGTTCATTCAATGAATTGATTGATTGATTGATTGATTGATCAATCTTCCTTTAATGCATTGTTGCTAAAGGTGTGTGTTTTTGAATTCCACTGACCCACTGGATGAAGTCTCTCTCTCTCTCTCTCCTCTCTCCCATCTTATTACAAGAATAACTCATTTATTTTTCCAGCGAGTCACCGGGGAAAATAACACCCCGATGATTTGTGTAAATATCGGTGTGTCGCCGTATAGTTACTTTTCATTATTAATAATCAAATCCTTAGATTTGATGTAACGTCTTTCATGCCCTAAATGGAACGGTGTTGTTGTGAAATTCAGATTATGGAAACGCTGTGTTGTGAAGCAACCACAAAAATACAGTTACTATATCTCACACTAAACTCCCGTGAATTGCCTTGAGACGTCTCCACGACGTGATGAGGTGCTAAATCAAATGCAAGGATTATTATTGCAATAAATTATTTAGAGCGCTACTGCCGTTATTTGCAAGCTGTGGAGACTTTTGAGTTAATAATAATAATATGGACGTCTCGCAAGTGCTTCACAAGATATACTGTAAAGTAGCCTGATTTGTGGGTGAAACACCGCAGCCAGATTTGTTATTATTTGGTCATTAGTAGAGAATTGGTGCGAGGGAAACTGTTAGCACTAAAAAGTGACAAATCCCCTGGTCCGGATGGTTTGCATCCCAGGGTTTTAAAAGAGGAGCTTATGAGGAAGTGGAGGCCTTATGTCTGATCTTCCAAAATTCCTTGGATTTTGGAACAGTCCCCATGGATTGGAAGATCGCAAATGTCACACCACTATTTAAAATGGTGGAAAGGAAAAGATGGGGAACTATAGGCCAGTTAGTCTCACATCAGTGATAGGAAAAATTTTAGAATCATTGATTAAGGATGTGGTAGTGCGGTATTTAGGGCACAATATAATTAGGTCAAGTCAACGTGGCTTTACAAAAAGGAAGTCATGTTTGACAAATCTCAAGGAGTATTTTGAGGATATTTTCAGTAAACTAGATTAGGGGGAATCGGTGGGTGTGGTCTATTTGGACTTCCAGAAGGCATTCGATAAGGTGCCGCATAAAAGGTTAGTCCAAAAGATAAGGGCACATGGAATTGGGGGAGCATATTAATGTGGATTGAGGAATGGTTAACGGGTAGGAAACAAAGAGTAGGGATAAACGGGTCCTTTTCAGATCTGCGGGATGTGACTAGTGGTATTAGTTCAATACTTAAATAAAACTATTGTAAAAAAAAAACTTGTTTCTCTCTCTCTCCCCCTCTCAGGACCACCAGCAGAGGGGACTTCGTCTTCTGTGCTGACCGCCTGGTAAGCAGCAAACAGAATAGTTTGCTCCATTTGCTGATTTGGTTGTGGAAAACTTAACATTGCTGCCAGGATTCCCCGGGGCAAAACGAAAGGAAAAAGTTGGGGAAGAGAGGGAGGAGGAGAGAATGGGTACAGTGGACAGTCACTACATTTGAGAGTGAATCCTGTGAAGCGCTTTGAGGCGTCCTCAACGACCACCACAAATTACATTTGTATAGAGCCTTTTGTTTCAGCACCTTAAGAGTTAGGAGATGATTAATACAAGATGAAAAGCACTGTCTCCAATGTAAGGATTATTAAGAGAAGGGAATCAGATTTGGAGGGAATAATAGGCTCGGTGGCCTCCTCTTGCGCTGTAAAGTATAAGATTCTGTGCTTATTGAGACACAAGTGAACCTGGAACAGTGTTTTCAGACAATGCCTTAGTTGCACAATGGTTTGTGTTTGGGAAGCTTGGGGTTATGTGTGTGCTGGGCAGAATCGAGGTGTCTTCAGTTGGGAATGTTCTCTTTCAGATCAGACTGGTCGTCGAAGAGGGCCTCAATCAGTTGCCGTACTCGGAGTGCACAGTCACAACCCCTACAGGTTAGCGACAGTAAAACTCCCAAAAGTCTTACCTTTAGAAATCGTATAATCGCTGAAGTTGTAGCGTACATCTAACAGGGTCCCATTCAGTTTCCTATCAAAACCACTTTGATTTCTTTGCACTAGTCGGATTAATCATCTCCTAACTCGTGATGCTGCTCCCCTACTCACCCTCCAGCACTCTCGCACTTACCGGCTGCGTTGTACCGTGGGAAATGACATCCTGAACTGTCCCTGAATGCGCATTTCCTGGCTGCATTGAATTACACTCGCGCAGTGTAGATTATTGATTGAATCGGATTTTATAAGACTTATTCAAGTTTGGCTGTAACTCGGGACTTCATGTGAGTCATTAAATCTTATGGTCCTGACTAATACAAATTACGTAAGTGTTATTGTACAAGTTACGTGAGGTGGATGTATCTCATCAGGGAAAAGCAGCAAGGTGGCGTTTGGTGAGGGGTGGAAAAGGGAACACACGCCATCAACAGGGACACTAACCCTTTGCTTTAATTTTAACACAGGCCACAAATATGACGGGGTGAAGTTCGAGAAGGGAAACTGTGGTGTGAGCATAATGAGGAGTGGTAAGTTACCCACTGCTGAGTCTTAGCTGCAAAAGTTCAAAATGATCGCTGGCGTCACAGCCAAAAGTCTTAAATATGAGCTGTGCTGGTTAACTGATCTGGGTGTCGGTGGGGAGGGAGGGAGGGACGAGAGAGGGAGGGAGAAGTGAGGGACACCCCAAGGTGTTAAATGCTGACACCAAACTATCCCCTTCTCTTGCAGGCGAAGCAATGGAACAGGGTCTGAGAGATTGTTGTAGGTCAATCCGCATTGGAAAAATCCTAATACAGAGTGACGAGGAGACCCAGAGAGCCAAGGTGTACTACGCAAAGTTCCCGCCCGACATATACCGCAGAAAGGTCCTTCTGATGTACCCCATACTGAGTAAGAACAAGGCCAAAATAGCAAAACTTTGCTTTGCAGCCAGTTTAGATCCGTGGTGAACACATCCGCTTGTCAAAAGAAATAACTAGGAACTGAAATACATATAAAATGTCTAAACGACACACAAAATATCACTGTTTAATGAACACACAAAAGTTATAATATCCGTGGTTCCAGTCTGTATAACTTCAATTAAGCATCTGTCTACATTTGCAGGTACTGGTAACACAGTCATCGAGGCAGTAAAGGTCCTCATTGAACATAGAGTGCAACCCAACCACATAATCCTCCTCAGTCTTTTCTGCACACCGCACGGTAAGTGAGCAGAGAGGCTGCTTGTAATTGTAGTTTTGAGATTTACAATTTGCGTTGAAAGCATCTGTAGTAAGTGCCGAGAGCTGAGGGCAAACAATTGTCTAATATTTGTAGAGTCCTGTAGGGTAGTGGTTAGCGCACTCGACTCGCAAACGAGAGGACCCGAGTTTGATTCCCGGTCAGGGCGAAACCTTAGGCAAGTTTCCTTACACCACTCACCTCTGTTTGGTGCCCTCCTGGTCCCCCGACTTGAAAGGCGCTTTTGTTGTTATTTACCTAGCAGTAAGTGGGAACCCAGTTGTTAGTCGATTGGTAGATCACTTTCCAGGGGTAATAATCCCTTCAAAGTAAATAAATTGTGTCACTGAATCCACAACTGTTTGTGGGACACTGCTGTGCGCAGTTGGCTTCTGCGTTTTGCCCACAAAAATACAGTCACTGCACCTTACACTGTCAGCCAAGTCGTACAGGTTTCTCTACAGGATCCGGGAGCGGGGTGGGGGGTGGGGGCTGTTGCAAGCCCAGCTCCAGGACGCTATCCCATGTGAAGGGCGCTATTTAAATTCAAGTTGTTGTTGTGTTTCTCTGCGCGTTAATCTTTTGCTTTCGCTTCAAAAGGCGCCAAGTCCATTATTGACGAATTCCCCGAGATCACAATTCTAGCGACCGAGGTCCACCCAGTGGCACCCACGCACTTCGGCCAGAAGTATTTCGGCACAGACTGAGACCAGGGATGATCCAGTGCAGTTTTTACCCGGGACAAAGACTGCAGCGACACCCATTCGTAACAAGCATGTTTCTTTTGTGGAGGGAGGGTGGAGGTTGGGGAAACAAGTTTTTTTTAAGTGTTTAAACTGATCTTACCTTATGCGTGACTGGGGGCATCCGATGTGAACTTATTACCTCCCTCCCTCCCGCCTTCCCTCCCTGCCGCCCTCCTTCCCTCCGTACTTTTGGGGATTTTTTAATATATGATATATATATTTAATAGCCCCAAAAAGCCTGCTTTGAAAAGCACATTCCAATTCGATCAGAATAATTCACGCTGTGCTTGCTTTGAATCTTTGTGGCGTTTATTCTCTTCCATCTATTTATTTGTTTGCAAATCGAGGCGGTGCCCATTCGCATTTTAAAAATCAATAAAAATAAATTATTTTAAAAAAGGTGGGGGGGGAGAATTCTTGGATTACAGTCCGAGCTCAATACCCAAGCTGACACGTACAGTGCAGTGCTGGGTGGGTTGGGCTGTGGAGAGAGGGCATAGCATCTTCGGAAATGCCATCTTTTGGACGAAACGTTAAAGCCGGGGACCCACCAAACAAATTTCTATCTGTATATGGATACGCATTTGTTAGATCAGGGTATTAAGGGGTATGAGGCGAGAGCGGGTAATTGGACTTGGAAGTACAGATCGGTCATGATCTTACAGAATGACGGAACAGGCTTGAGGGGTTGAATGACCTACTCCTGTTTCTATGTCTTTGCCTGTTCAGACGGCGATAAAGATCCCACACCTTTTAGATACTATTGGAAAAGAGAAGGGAGTTTCTCTCTCCCGGTATCCTGGCCAACGATTCCCCAGATACAGGGAATTGGGCTTAGGATACAGAGCTTCACTGGAGGAGTGAACATTGACGCCAATACAGTGAACCAAAAGGCCTCTGACTGGAGAGAAATTCCACCTGGGCAGAATGGCTGGATGCCTGTCCACCAGTGGTGAGGCAGATAGAGCAAGGGCCATAAAGCAGGTCAGTGTTCTCAGAGTCTTATGTTCACAGGATATTGAATATCCTGCACGACTGAGTAAGCTGGCATTACCCCACGAGTGTCTCAGTAAGTGAAATACATAACTTAGTAAATATTTCACTTACTGCAACTCACTAAGTGAAATATTCCAAACAGGCCGCAGGTATACTTTTAAAACAGTTTATTTCTTGTAAACATTTTCTTACAATTATTCAAAAAAGTGTTACAAAGTGCAGTTAAAATCCTGTGAAGAACCCATGAGCCTTTCACTGACAAACGCGCACACAGACCCAGGCACTGATTTGGAAAGAAAAAGGACACCTCACGGACGGCCACTGGCTGGGATTCGGCTTCTCTTACAATTCCACATGTTTGGGGCACAAAATGGGGACTGAGAGAGAGAGAAATCCCAACTCCTCAGGGATCACTATCAGCATTAATATCTACAATGCTCAATTATAACGGTGCATTGTGCAGAGTGAAGGCAAGAACTCTTGGGACAGTCCAGCTAAGAAACTAAATCCTGGTGTCCTGACACCACAGAAGCATGTCGAATGCTTACTACAGCAATAAATAGTAAAAGTAAAGTATTATTACCCCCCAGCCCCCCAATTATTTTCTATTGCATTGAGCACCGAGAGCTTCAGCCGACAGGATGATGGCAAATATCTGCCTGACGGGTTGAAATGGCTAAGACTCCTTTGTTGCTATTCTATTTACATGACAACCTTCAAGAGGGTGCTAGACTGGGTCCATCTGGTAAAGACCCAACTGGTTTGCAATCGGCCTTGGCCTCTTCAACTCGAGAGAAATGATTTGCACGTCACTGCCTCAAAAACAATCTCTATTTACCCCTTTAAATTAAATATATCATCCGACTAGGAACCACTGTGCAGGAAGTGGGCTGGTTCAAAGTTTATAGGGGACTTTCCACTTTTTTTTAAAAATCATAATGAGAAAATACTGCACGGGTTTATATCTCGAGACTGAGCCGTCACCTGAAAGCACAGGCATCCACACCCTAAAGTGGTTTGTCTTTTTCCCCCAATTCAATACAAGACAATACCGGTAGACTCGACAAAATAAAAGTCACAGACTTGGTCAGGAATGCACTGCAAATTTTTCAAGCGCAGTTGAAAGAAGGGAAAATGAAGGGAAGAACGTCCAACTGTAGGGGAGGGAGAGTGGGGGGACAAACACACACGGGTTGCAGCGAGAGAAGCCATCTATCTATCTTTTGTAGGTCAGTGGAACTCATTTAGAATTCAGACAATTGGAATACAGAATCAGAAATATCCAGCGAAAAATAGGTTTAACCAACTTAGAAAAAAACAGGGCAGTAGTCTTTTAAGTTTTCAATCTTTCTGATACTAACCAGACCAAAGCAGTTGAATGGTGGTATTGAACAACCTGGGCTGTTTAAAATTTAACACTTTCACTTCCCCATTCACCCTCAGAAGGTCAACACATGGTCCTTTCTTTAACCTAACACCTGGATTCCGAGCACGGTCACAATATTGGAATCGTTGAAAAATTATTGCTTTGCCGATATATAATGTGGGACACGACACGTCACGCGACTGCCAGGATGGTGGAAGGCAAATTGGATGGACCTTGGTCATGTGCCTCGCAAATTCTTCTGAGCTAGTGCATCTCCACCTTTCCTCTCCCCACCACCAAAATTAACTGCTGTGACGCGAGAGGGAGGGTTCCAGTTGGGCAGCTACAAAAATCCCACCACTTGGCAAAGAAGGTTTCTCTATTGATAAAAACCAAATCAAATAACAAAGGCTATTTACCTCCAACTTACAGGACGCATCTCTCTCTCTATATAATGCATATTAAAATTTATATTCCAAGTCTTAGGTGCTGCATGATTTTTGAAGGCTAAAAAAACACATGAAAACAAACGGGGGCAAATTATTTGACCTTCATTTTTCACACCCGACACGCACAAACAGACCTGTGGGCCAACATGTCATTTATGTAGTAGATGCGTATTACAAGAGAAAACATTGTGCGTCAGAGCAAGAAGGCATACAACATCCTCCTAGAATGTGCTTGTAAGCAATTCCCTCAGAAACAAATGATCTCTTCTGCCATCAACCTGCTGCCCCAATCCACCCCCCACACACACGCCATTGCCCAGTCCTCGACAACCAAAGTTACTGGAGAAAACACAGCGATGAGTATAAAACACACGATTTGTAGCCAAACTGCTACCCAGATTGCTTCATTATTTACTGTGAGCTTTTCACTCGAACGTGTCAAAACAACAGAGTAAACGACTTTTTTTTAATGTGATTGCATCAGCCGCAGCTGCTTATTTTGAGGGAGGATCATCGATTTGACCCGAAAGTAGAATTTGAGTTTAATGCAGATTTAAAAATACTCTCTCTTTCTCTGCTTCCCCCGCATTCAACTCTGGTTAAGTACCTTGGGCCCTGCACACCTTCTGCTTGATACTCAAGTAAAATATTGTTCCGCAATTAGCCAACAGGAGGAAGTCCTTTTCTCTTTTGCTCCTCTCCTCCACCTCCAAAGAAACAAATCCTCCACTGCGAAGTTCAATGAAGAAATTCCCAAACTAGTCCATTCAAAGCAGCTGTTTTTCAAATGCATCTATAAAAACCAGTATTGGGAGCGCAACACCTTTTTCTCTAACCACTGAGCACCTTCTAGACATTATACCTTAACCGATAGAAAGACTACAGATCCGGTTAAATTAGTGAGCAGGTTAAACGGTGTCTAGAAAACGTATACAGTAGCTTTAATTAATAATCCTTGCGTTCAATATTGAGCCTTATTGCGTCTTCGAGACGTCTCAAACAGCTTCACAGAATACACTGTAAAGTGAATTGACTTTGTGGGTAAAATTCATGTTAAGATGCTGCAGTGGGCAATCCTGTAAAAGCTACTTATGGTAGACAAAGGAGGTGCTTAATAATCGCAGGCAGAGTTTGTGCCGTATCGTATGTTTTACGAAAAAAGAACTTGAAAAGAACACTGGACAATAATTCCACAAGCGCTTTGAGACATCCCCCAGACCTGAAAGGAGCCATATCAAATACATATTATTATAATTACCTGTGAATTGCTTCGACGCATCAGTGTTACAAGTGCTGTATCAAACGCAGACATTAATTATGGGGGGATTATTATTTTTAACGAGGCTGAAATCACACAAAAAAAGCTGTTCATCATGAACTATTGATTTATAAGTTTAAACACAGAGGGCGACTAAATAACCCACCCAAAGTATTCATTCAGAACCAACATCTTAGTTTAAGACCGTATTTGATGCGTCAGAAGGTGATTATATCTCAAACACACTATGATGTTGACAGCTTTAACAAAAATAATTTTCCACTAAGTGAACAGCTGTTCCAGGAATTTGGGAATTGGAGGCTAGAATATAGCTCGATTCCCCATTCACTCCAATGGATCAATTCATTCCCAATTAACCAGCAACTTGTCCCACTTCAACAATTGTATATTTGCACTCTGCCGTCTGCAGAGTTTCATTGAAAACTTTGTTTTATTTATGAAGTTGAAAATGTAAGTGTAGGTAATGGTTTATATGCACTCGACAAAATCCACTGAAATGTTTGCAAGTCCTCCAGTTAGTGATTTTTATTTCCACTTCTATTTCGCTGTACAAGAATTAAATATTTTATAGACTTAGAACCTAACATGAATTCTCTGATTCACACCTTCCTGACAAACGACAGTAAAAAAAAATCCCGTTATCAAATCTGCGCTTTACAAAATATAAACTGTTGGAATTAAGTCGCCGTTCCATCTGTTAAAAGTTATTCAAAAACATTTAAGATTAGCCATAAAAAAAACCACCGGCAGTCGTAAAATAAGCCATGCAGCGCTCACCGACTGCCACTAGACGTCTCCACGGCATTGAAAAATAATTAAACATAAAACGTGCATCATTCAACAATTAATAATAATAACACTGGAAAATATAGCTAGAAAAATACATTGCTCCTTGTAAATTTGGCCGCTGGTTGATTAATAGTGAAGTGGTTTATCCCGTGTCAGGAAAGCTCTTGTAAAATTGAGCTCTCGTAACGAGTCCGTACCTTGCACGCCCACCAAGGCTGTTGAGGTTTACTTCTTGTGACAAGAGAACATATTTTAATGAAGGAGGAGAAGAAGGGGGAAAAAAAGAGAAAATGCATTTTAAAAGTGACCGTAAGGTCTTTGTAAAGAAATATTCACAATCCTGTCCGTTGCTACAAATCCAATACAAGCCTCTTTAAATACAGGTTAGCTGGTAACAGAATCTTCATTCAAGCGAGCCATTAGATAGACACTTTGTGCGTGTACGTGAGTGTAAAAAAATACTTAGCATGCCAGTCACGCACCAGGAACATTCACTGCAGGCGGTGACTTCGCTTAAACGTTCATTAAGATAATTGTGTTTTTAACCTGACTTGCATAAAGCACATATATATATATATTTGATGCACGACATAGATGGAAGCTGCTCTGTGCATTAATAAGTCCGTTCTTCTGTGGATTGGTTTGAAATCGTGAAGCCTACCAGCGGGTTACTCGGCCCTTGTGGATCAATCAACACGGTGAAGTCTTGCTCCGCCTGAAACAAGCACCAGTCAAGCAGTTCTGGGAATAGCAATGAGACAGTTCCACACAGCTCCTTCCCCCCCCCACCACCCCATTCCTCTCTGAGGCCTAAGGTTTAACCTGGAGCTGAATGATTCACTCCCCACCCCACCCCACATTCAAAGCGATTCAGTGTCACACACCTGGAAGCTGGGTGAAGAATTTACAAATTGCTCGCAGCAACAGCCGGTCAGGTTAATGACCACCTTATAACTCAATCCTCAACTGATCCACAGCCACTTTTGTTAACTAAAAAGGCCTTTGTGCTTTAAACATTTTATGGGGAGGGGGCACGGAAAGCAAACCTCAACTCGTCTGTCCCTCAGCAATCTGAGTGAGATTTTGGGGGATAAGGAGAACTGATGGGAGAAGATTATTAAAAGAAAAAGGAGGGGCGGAGGCAGAAGGAAAAAGGGAAGGTGAAAGAGGACAGAGGTTTTGTCCGGAAATAAATTTTCTACAGGTTTTTTTTGTCAACCATTTTTATCAATCACAAGCGAGGTAAGATGGGGAGGGAGGCAGGGAGAGAGAAGGGATACACCTTGATAAAAGAGCAAAGAATATACTGCCCGTGTGCTCTACTCTTGAGTTGAGCACATCATCCCAATCGATTAGACAAAGAAGTCAGAGCAATTTCTGAATTGAGACCAGTTTCCACCTCGCTAATCTTTGGTCACTCTCTGTACCTGTTAAAAAAAAACTCCACTTTCCGTTAAAATGCCAACTTGGTTTTTTTTCTCGTTTTCTTTTTTAAAAAAAAGCCGCAAACATCCCTGCATCTTCCTGACAGACCCGAATTACACATTTTCCGGGGGGGGGGGGGGGAGAAGAAAAAGACGAATTCAGTCCAAGGACCTTCCAACTCAAACAAGCGTTAAAAACATTCGAGAAATGATCTGATTTGAAATGACCTACTTGATAATAAATACAAAAAGACGAACACACAGTTCTCTTGTTGCAACACAAGGGAGTGTTCCACTGGACACCTCGATATCTGTAGCCCACATTGTAAATCTTATGCAAGAACCCCCTTTTCCTCTGCACTTTGCCCCTCTCCAATGAGTTAAATACAGCACGTTGATGTATGTTAAATGAATTTTTAAGATCTCTTTGATAACGCTCATTCGCACACACTATTTACATCAGAAGTCCACGTTCAGTGTTACCCAGTTTGCAACTGAATTCACAACCCTCCAGCCCCCTCAAAATGGAATTATTCAAGAACGTAAGCACGCATCTACAGTATACATAGCAAAAGGTCTTCAGCTGACTGCCTTAAATAAGGCATGAATACTCCAGTCTCATTTTGTATGAAGTGCCTCGGGGATCTTTGGTTCTCTCATTTGCACATCAAATGACAGCTTGGCCTCTGGAAACAACCTGAAAGAGATGATAATCAGCAGCGATGGTAATAGTGAGATTAGTGTTGGGAGATTTTAATGAACAATAATCCGTACATTTGATGCAGCGCCTTTCAGGTAGGAAGGAAGTCTTAAAAAGCGCTTCACAGGATATGCTGCGAAGTGGAGTGGTTTGCATATCCTGCAAGTGAACGGGGCAGCCAATTTGCACACAGCATGTCCCACAAACAGCCATGTTGTGACTGACCAGTTAGGGATTGTTTTGAAGTGATCTCAGAGGCATCCTGACCTAGCAGAAGTTGGCAATCTTGTTTAATGCTTCTCGTGTAAAGCGAACTCTAAGCTGTTGGATTCGGTGGATGGCATTATGATGGAGCTGCCCTGCGCTTTCTAGCCAAAGGGAAAAGGCCATTAGAACTCAGCTAGCACTACTGAGCTCCGAGAATCATAAATTCAGCAGAACACTGACCTGTTTCAGCTTAAAAACAGCCACTTGACTGGTCATCTAATTCTCCATGTCTACAGTCACAGAGGAACTGACACTCTGTCCTGTGAAATAAATGAAAAAACACAGCATCATCTTTCCTGTGCGTTCTCTGGGTTAAGTCCTCGATTTCCTGATGTTGCTTCAGATTAACTGCTTCTTCAACCTCAACCGGTCACATTTTGCTTCCATTTTTACAAGCAGTGAGTCACGATGGGAGTGCTCCTGACTTATGTTGGCACACAGCATCAAGTGTCTTCCTGCACCTCCTCCAGCTGACCTTTCTTCACGTGTCAGCCCAACCCAGAGAGGCCGCACCATGTACAATCTGCCCAGAGAGAGAAGCGAGATATGCTGTCCTTTCACCTGTGAGAGGTGGGATTGAAAGCAGCCCTGGGCAAAGAATATCACAAGGTGTTGTCCCGTGTTTTATACAGCACTTTGCAAGTGCGATATCAATCAGGGTACCAGACTGGGCTTGGAAAGTGAATGGAGCTGGGACCTCACTGTCCCAAGCCCCCTTGAGATGAATATTAACAATAATCCTCACAATCCTCACGTTGTTGAGACCTCTCAAAGCGCTTCACAGAATACATTGTAAAGTGTAGTGGCAGTGTATTTTGTGGGCGAAACGTGGTAGCCAATTGCGCCCAGCAGTGTCCCACAAACAGTCGTGGATCGAGTGACCAAACTATTATTATTTTTGGAAAAAAAAACTTCCAACTTTCACTATAAACGCAGCGAGTGAGAACAAAAATGGCTTCACTCCCAAGTGATGTCAGGAAATTTCAACTCTGTGAGAGATCAACAATGATGGCCAGCACACACTGAAGCTGCAGACAGTCAAGCTTACCCAGGTTCTCTCCGTCTGATTCGCTTTCATCCGAGTGCTCCTCATTCGCCAGCAATGGGTTTCGACTCTCGTTCATCGACCTCATGGGGAAGAAATGCCCGTCTCCCTGGCTGACGCGAACAAAAACGAAACAGATGTCATTTCATATCGTAGTAATTCTTGAATTTCATGTAGTGCCTATAATGTCAAAACGCCTCAAAGCACTTCACATCCAATTGCTGCCAAATGTAGTGACTTAGTTGTGTAGCAGTGTGCCACAGAGTATCGCGGAAAAGCTACCTACTCTTTCCAAAATAGTGCTGTGGAAACTTTACTGTCCACCTGAGCAGATTGTAACTCTGACAACACGGTGCTATTCTAGCAACGCACTGGATTGTCAGCCTTGCTGGCAGCTCAAAGTCTCGACCTAGGGCTTGATACTTGCAACCGCCTGACTCGGAGGCGAGAGCACTACCAGGCTGGCTAATCTGCGATCACTATTAAACAATGGAAGCTGACACTCTAGGCGGGTTCTGTTAACGGACGCAGAAACGACACGTAAATTAACCCTCCCTCTTTGAACAGTCTGGTTACTCAGTCCCACATCTGTGCTACTGTTATAGGTACATAACGTCCTAATGCACACATAATAACTGGAGTCTGCGTGGCCGGAGGTCAGTACCTGGTGAAGGTGGGCAGAAACCACTGCGTCTTTTCTTGCCCGAACACTTGCTTTAAATTTTTCCCCCGGCCCAGGTTGAAACCGTTTTTATCTGGACCGTAGTGAAAAACTGGTGCGGAGAAGGCCTCTGGAAAGACAAAGGACAACGTCAAAATGAAGAGTACACTTCAGCTGTCACCAAACTTTTAATGAGAAATTCACTCGTAAAATTTATTGGCTTATAAAGTATTTTTAAGTTACTGAGGAAACAGGCCAGAGTAATATACACCCAATGAAAGTTTAGTGGGACAGTGTTACCAACAGCGGCACTGCACATGTAAATAAACCTCCTGTGTTGCACGAAGTAACACTCGACGGCTGAGACGGTGCTTAACTCTTACCTAACGTGGATCTGTTTAAACTGACCAGCCAGCAGTGATAGCTGAGGAGGAACAGGAGACTGAGGAAGAACATGACAGCCACAAAGAGGAGAAAGAGCACGTGGAATTTAGCTCGGCCGTCGGGCAGGCCACCCTGTTAACCAGAGAGAAAGGAACATCTTAGTATCGATTACTTTTGTGGAATCCTGAAGCTTAGCAGTTAGAGCCCTCGCCTCGCAAACGAGAGGACCCGGGTTCGATTGTGAGTGAGAGAGAGAGAGATAGAGAGGGGTTGGGGGCGGGGGGATTGGCATCGAACTTACTGTCCAAAATTTGATGAAATATTGCATAACGGTGGCAGCCACAAACAAGCAATACACAATGGAATAGCCCAAAAAGAGAAGGAAAAACTTGTAGTTTGAGAAGCCGATGCAGTTATTCACCCTGCGGGGAGAAGAGCAGCATTAGTCTTTTTGTTCGGAGTCACGGCCCAATCCAGCAGAATTTCGAATCTGAATTCCAACACCTGCCAAAATTCAAACGGAAACAGGATCTGAAAATCAAAAACACCCTTCACTCTGGGCATGCGGGAAAGGGTTGCAAACTCAAAATTCTTTCTTTAAAATAAATCTTGCGGTAATTTGCCAGGAAATAGCTGCAGTGGAAGGTGTATCTGTCTGAGTCAAATATCCTATTTGATTTAGTAAGAAACCGAATTAATGGACCATGGCCAAAAGTACAGGACATCACCAAGGTTGAAATGTAGGAGAGACGATAAGTGAGATAAGGCATGTGGTAGCTAGGGGACACCCAGCTTGGATATTGCAAGCCTGAGGAGGAAATGAAGACTGAGGGTGATCTGGGAGTGACTGTTTTTTGAATACATGCGATCAGATATATGCAAATAGGAGACAGCCATTTTGAGCCCTTTCTAAAGCAACCATAGCATATAAGTTAAGATTCCTTCAGGAAGGGCGAATCCTAAATTAAATGTTTATTCTACATAAATGTTTAAATTCTCCCTATTAATAATAATAATCCTTGCATTTGATACAGAGCCTTATCACGTCTTCGAGACGTCTCAGAGAGCTTCACAGAATATACTGAAAGTGAATTGATTGTATATTTTGTGGGCGAAACGCCCTCATATTATTGATGAGAGTGCGAACAGCTCATGAAGTGTCTGACCTACCAAGGGCAATGATGGTCCATTTTCAGCACACACCTAAAATAAAACACAAAGGCAGAAAAATATCTAGTTACTGTTACATCCGGCAACAGTGAATTTAAACATGAGCTCCCAGTCGGGAGAAGCTTTATTTTGTCAGTGAAACGGATTTCAAACTTAATATTTAGGGTGGCTTCCTGGCTGCTCGTCAAGTTTATCCAGTGCCTAGCTGCTTGATACAGAAATGTCCCTGGAAAGTCTCAGGTTCGATACCTGATATGTGCTGAGTTAGCTGATTTCACTGGGAAGCAACAGAGACTCTACAAATGGCCTCAGCTCCTGGAGGAAATACTGAGTGGAAAATCAGCCAGGCTTCTTGCTTCTCATCGCCATTCAGAATCCTCTGCAGGAGATTCATGTGCCCGGACCTTGGCTGAAGACTGACTAGGGCTCACGTCCAATACCGCAAAACAAAATAACACACGTGGCTTGTTTCTGAACACTGTATCAGATACATGATATGACAATTCCAGTCAGACCCTGTTTAACATGGTTATCAAATGACCAGCTAGTGAGGAGAGGAGGGGGAAATGTGGGTGGGGGGCGGGGGTGGTGGGTGTTGGAGGGAGAGGTAGCAGCCTCTTCTTGGGACTGAGTTGGCTCCAAGGTGATGCGCTGTCAATGGAACGACGGAATCAAGTGTGCTCTGAAGGGCAAGCTATGCAATTGTAGCTGAGTAAACTCCAGCAACTTCCCACATGTATACCCTTGTACATGGAACTCTCCTGGCTTGGAGTGCACAGTGATGGATTTCTACATGAGTCACAGACAAGTGGATACCCAGAAAAAAATGTGGTGGTTTGAGTCCATGAAAATGACGGGTATGATATAAAAACAGCAGCGCTGGCGATACTTCCTGTGTGCACTGTGCGTGAAAGCCATCACTATAAAGGGATCCGACTGTACACGGCTAATACTTTGCACAATGGCACATTCAATCCTAACAATTCCAACATTTGAAGCGTCAGCAGTAAAGAGATCTTCCTGACTTACATGTCACAGATGGAGCAGTGGTGGCAGCGATCAGGTTTAATGACCTGACATCGGTCGCAGTACCGGATAGCTGAACAGGGAAGCAAAGCGAGAGTTAAGGAGATCCAGTGCCTTTAAAAATGTCTTTTAAAAAAAAACTGATAGCGTCTTATCACTTCATTGAGAACATATTGTAAAATGAATTGACTGTATATTTTGTGGTCGAAACGCGGCAGCCAATTGCGTTTAGCAGTGTCTTATGGATGAAATGATCAAATTATTTATTTTTAAAAAAAAGGGATTTTTACCCCCAGAAAGCGATCCGCCAATCGACTAACAACCGGGTTCCTACTTAATGCTCGTTAAACAGAGGCGTGTGGAATAAGGAAATTTCGGAAGGTTTCCCCCTGCCCTAGGAATCCAGATCCTCTCGCTTGCAAGGCAAGTCCTCTAACCACTACGCTATACAGAAAGGGATACATGGTTTGGGGGAGAGGACTACTCAGCAAATACAGAAATATGACACAGAAAATGCTGCAGACGACAGGAACGACGAGTGCATAATCAAATGCAAGGATTATTATTAATCTGAAATATTACATCAGTCGTACTGGAGCTGCTTTGAAAGATATTGTTGCCGGTAAAAAAAGTGTTTTAAGAGAGCGAGAAAGGCACAAAATCCAGAGCATCACAGTCATCTCACCGGTTAAGGGCAGTTTGGGGCTGCATGTTACAACTAGTCACAATTTCAACTCTTGCTTTTCCTGGGGATTCATTAGATTGAGCTCAAAGTCTTTAAGTGCACTTTTTAAAAACAGTGGTGCAGGTTTCAGATCAATGCTCCATCATTATATATTGATAAGCAACTTGGGAATTATAGAGAGCCTTTCACGTGGGATGGTTGTATCAAAGCACTTTGCAGAGACTATGGAGGGCCCTGAGCAGGGAGAACAGGATGGGGAATTCAATAACCTGTACGTGTGCCATGGTGTCACTTATACCGAGCGTCAATACCATCTCAACCACACTCCAGTCAGTCTAACCCTGATGATGGATTGCTTTACCTCCAGCGCTGGTCCTAGTGTACACAGGTAACTGTCTAGCAACGTCCAAGAGGATTTGTTTCTGTATTTCAGGCCTCTCTTCTCGTTCATACTGCTCTCTGTCGGTTCTGGGCAATTGGAACTAAAAGCACACACAGAGGAAAAGGTCATTAAAAATGCAGCACTGAAGGGACCTGCAGCACAAACCAAGTTACCCTCTGGTGTGTGTCACACCCCCAGCCTATGCCACAACATCTCAATACACAAGCTCCTCCATACTGGTTATGCACAAGCAGGTACTAGAAGTAATTTCTAAAGGTCTGCTAATGGCCATTTAAAAATGACAACAGCAAATTACATTTATTCAGCGCCTTTTGTGGCGAGAGGATGTCCCAAGGCGCTGGACAATCGAGGACCTTAGCTGAGGGTTGGTTTCGAGAGGGATGGGAGCCAAGGTGGGAAGATGATTGAAAGCGCAGTCAATAAACACTCATGGAATTACCTTTCTGGAGGGTTGAAGTGGTTCTGTAAAAATAGCCTTCCAGTAGGTCCACAAAAACAACACAAAACAGATATGGAACATCACCAGATATGCACCTGTGACAAAAGTACAAATCACAGTCACTTCTCAGAAGATAGCATTTTCCTTTTGATTTAACTCAGATATTCAGAGAATGCCGGCTTCATTCATTCTGACCTAGGGCAGGATCAGTAAATAATTTCTGGAGAACTCTCCTCAGCCTTTGGCAAAGGAGATTTTGAAGCAGGAAATACAAAGCTCATATTTCATTCTACCACTGAAACCAATGTCAAACCGCTCCGGGCCATATGAAAGGTACAAACTCAACAAGGTTAAAGGAGCAATCCAGGAATCATGCCTTGTTCCAGAGTTAGGACAAAAGTACCTAATTTGTTTTTAAAATAAACAGAATCTAATTATTATTGTGTACTGATGGCTTAACGAGCGTTATTTGGAAATGAATCGCGACGAGAACTACCCCTGGCAGGGTTTCGGAAGTGAATAAATCCAACTCTTACTCTCAGACGAGTTCAACAAATAAAACTGATGTGTCGCTTATGAAATTACAATAGTGATGACAACTTAGCAAACACAATACCATCAACTCTCTCCCCCCCCACCAAATCACCCTCCTCAGCTCAGAGCACCACTCTCTCTGCTGTCCTGGCTGAGATCAGATGTCTGAAAGAAGACCTGTCAGGCATCTGATGGAGCCTAGGCCGTTTTGGGTCCCCATGGCTCCGTTTTGCACTGGGTAGCAAATACAGTCTCGTTCCTTGCGCATAGCACAGAGAATGGCCACGACTGCAATTTGTTAAATAGAACACTGATGGTGGAAGCAGATTCGATAGTAGCTTTCAAAAGGAAAATGGGAAATTGGGACGTCCTCCCGACATGAAAGGCGCTATACAAATGTAATCTTGTTGTTGTTGTTGGATGAGTACTTAAAAAGGAAAAATTTGCAGGGCTGTGGGGTTAAGAGCTGGGGAGTGGGATTAGTTGGTGGCTCTTTCAAAGAGCCAGCACAGGCACGATGGGCCTAATGGCCTCCTTCTGTGCTGTAAGATTCTATGATTCTACACTGGATTTTAATCTGTCATGAGGGAAAGCAAAAGAGGAGGCGTTTCTCCTCCACAATGCCATGAACTGTGTAACTAAGGTCCTGAGTCCAGCAATTGGCTGAATAGAAGCAGGCAGGCGTTGTTAATCTCTCGTGAAGATGCACGTGGTAGGGAATGGGGCAGAAAGGCAGCAGTGTTAGGACATGTACACTGTAGTTATCCAGACAGCAGTCCTTTTGTTTGGATTCTGGCTTCCATCTCACACTTTTTTTTTAAAAAAATAAAGAAACACATCCAATGAAATAAATCCTGTACATCCATCTGGAAGATTCTGCAGCATTTTTAGACAGCTTGTGGACAAGTTCCCCGCCGTGCTGAAAAGCGATGCCAGGGAATAATTCAGAACCTAAAGCATCTCCGGGATTAGACGTTCCATAGCAAGTTAACACACCACCAAATGCTACTACTCTGTGCATCAGTTAACTATGTGCATTGCATTCCGACACACTGAATAATAATAAAACAAGATGTCCAATTCTAGAAACACCCCAGGAATCATAATAGGATTCATATTGTGAAAGCTTCCTCTTTATCTGATTAGCTATGTAACACACACCAGCAAAAACATTAAGACTGGTGAAGCATGAGAACTTCGAATGCGACCCATTAATAAAAGGTGCAAATTCTAAAATATAGCCATTTAAGGTTGGTTTTAATTCTAATCAGTTGCTGTTGCAACTGGGTGCTCCTTTTCAGCAACCAGAAATATATTTAACCGCCAACCTATGTACGACGCAGATGTAGTTATTATTAATAATAATAATCCTTGTAGATATAGCGCCTTACCGTGTCTTCAAGACATCTCAAAGCACTTCACACATATACTGTAAAGTAAATTGACTATATTTTGTGGGCGAAACGGCTTCTCATTAGAAATTCCAGTTGATAAGAACTGTGAATATCTAATACACTGGTTGGCATTAAATTAATGTTAATTAGCATTAACATCCATTTGAAGGAAGCCACAGAAGAAAATAACCATTGATGCAGACTTGGAAAAGGCATGTCTGTGCTGACTTTTCATCACAGGAGGAGGGGAAGGGTTGTATGTCTGAAAGAATCTTACCTTTCTCAGCAGGATTGCTTATGGTAACTGTAGGGAAAGAAAAATAAAAAAAGAGACATATGGTTAACCAAAGAAAATACCACTCAATAATATTAACACACCAAAATTTGCATTTTATACAACACAATTTACGCTTAAATAGCACCTTTCTCACCAGGAGGATATCCTAAAGTTTTTTTTTAAAATTACAATCACAAAACAAGCACATAGCTTTTTTTTAAATGTTTTTATGTAGTTTGCTGGAAATGTTTCCGCTCAGCTTAGAACCACAGACCCAGACTGACAGAGGCAAGCTATTGAGAGCAATGGGTTGGTGCTGCATCAAATGCAAGGATTATTATTATTATGGCTTATTTCTTGAGATTTCTCCAGAAGTTCGCGAGAATCAAAACAAAGGCAGGTGCATTTTTCCACTGCCATATCTTGTTACGACATCTCAAATCCCCTCAGAAATAATTATTGTCAAGTGCAGTGACTCTTATTTTTTGTAGGAAACTCAGTAGCCACTTACGCCACAAAAAGCTAAGAGGTGAATGAATAATTTATTTGGAGAATGGTCAGTCAGCTGACCATAGCTTGCTTGCTTGAATAGACAGACAGACAGATAGATAAAATTAAACAAAAAACTTGGTCACTCCTGTTTGTGGGAAGCTGCTGTGCGCACCTGCCTGCCGTGTTTCCGACAGAGAATACAGTCACTGCACTTGACAAGTTATGGGGTGAAACTGGCTTCTGTTTTAATTTAATTTAATCCTTGCATTTGATATAGCGCTTTTCACGTCGGGAGGACGTCCCAAAGCGCTTCACAGAACACACTGTAAAGTGAATTGACTGTATATTTGTGGGCGAACGCGGCAGCCAATTGCGCACAGCAATGTCCCACAAACAGTCGTAGGTTGAAAATGACCAATTTATTATTGTTTTTGGTTTTGGAGAGATTATTATTAGGCTCTGTGTGGAGTAAGGAAACTTGCCCGAGGTTTCGCCCTCTGCCTTGAATTGAACTCAGGTCTCTCGCTTGCAAAGCGAGTGCTCTAACCACTGAGCTACAGGACTCCACAAATTATTATTATTTCTGATAATAATAATAATAATAATCCTTGCATTTGATTGAGCGCCATATCACGTCTTTAAGACTTCTCAAAGCGCTTCACAGAACATATTGTAAAAGTGGATTGGCGGTGTATATTTTTTTTAGTGGGACATTGCCTCATATTACAAGAACAGGCAAGAAAGACTTTGGTTGATGTGGAAGATACAAGATTCAACACGAATAGGAAGTAGTACCTGACCCTCCCAGCCAAGTTGAGAGTGGCAATATGTTTTTCTACGGTTTCAAAATTAGTCAAAGAAAACCACAGCAGCCCTTTTTTTCTGCTTCATCAATTTCCAAAATCGACAAACGTGGAAACAATTTCTGTTAAATCCAATGCAAGAATTGCAGAAAAGCCGTACATACGTCTGAGTGTGTCAGTCACCCGGCTGACTAAAAAAAAATGCAGATTTTTAACTATATGTAAAAGACGGACTGGTTTACTGGTGCAAAAGATCTATTGCATCTGAGGTTTCGGCTGTGTTTAGGACAGGAAGTGTTTCGTCACACAGGAAAATCAACAGTTGGTTATCAGAAAGGATGGTTGAAAACAGCACATGTGGTCTCTTTTAGATCACTTTGGATTGCTATCTTACACGATGGGCACTGCATAAATGCGAGTTGTTGTTGTTTACGGAATAGTTCAAATGCTGTAATAGAACAGATGACAGTGCTGGTGTTCTTAAAGAAATGATGCTAAATGGGCCTGATTCATCCAATCCTCTCTTGTGAATCACTATAGAAAGGGGAAGCAATGTCAATATCAGGAGTTCTCTCAGTACACGATCACCACACTTAATTAGTTATTCATCTCATGGGTCCTTGCTACTGCATTTGCCAGCCAACCACTTGACAGAAATTAACCACAAAGCTTTTCTGAAACATTTCGACCTGATGGGGTGCTATAAAAAGGCAGGTTCCTGCTTTTCTCTTACAGGAACTCGCTGGACTTTCAGTTGAGAAAGCTCAACAGCCTCAAAACTCTAACATTTATAATAATATAATCCTTGCATTTGATATAGCACCTCATCACGTCATTGAGGCATCTCAAAGCGCTCCACAAGATTATACGGTAAAAAAGAGTTGACTGTATATTTTGTGGGTGAAACATCCGCTCACATAACATTCTTGCAGAGCTTAACATGAACCCAGTTATCTGACAACCTTAAGCAACCCTGAAAGATTCCCACAATTTCCAAGGTTTTGATTGTCACTTGTAGTGGTGGAAATTTGATGGCTCAGAAGTAACACGTTACATGCAACTGGAGACCGAGTTATAATTAATAATTTATCAGTATCGCTCACGCTACACTGGAAAAAAATAAGAAAACAAATAATCCTTGCATTTGATAATAATAATAATCCTTGCATTTGATATAGCGCCTTATCATGTCTTTGATATGTCTCAAAGTGCTTCACAGAATATACTGTAAAGTGAATTGACTGTTTTATGGTTGAAATGCGCAGCCAATTTCGCACAGCAGTGTCCCACTAACAGTCGTGGATGGAGTGACCAAATTATTATTATTATTATTTTTTTTTTAAGGGATCATCACCCCCGGAAAAGCAATCCACCAATTGACTAACACCGGTTCTTACTTACCGCTAGGTAAACATATGATATAGCGCTTTATCACGTTTTTGAGATGACTCAAAGCCCTTCACAGAATATACTGTATATTTTGTGGGTGAAACGCCAAGAAAAATGTTCTTCTCCCTCTTTACAACTTAGTACAAATATTTAAATTTTAAAGAGCAGTTCAATTTTCAAACGCAAGCATTTTCCGTTCCCATTTGGTTTGGAGTTCAATTGTAGTTAATCTTTATGAGATTTGACTAGTATTACAGCAAGGTCTGAGATTGGCTCGGGCACATCCTTAAAAGAGCAGAATCAATATCTGTGGAAATGCAACCCAACAACAATGCAAACCGTCTCTTCTCCCCCAAAACCCAAGCGTATATCCTGCCCAAATCCTGACCAATTTGGAACACAGCACCAGGTAGAGAATTCACTTCTAACTGCGTCAGTCAGGGTATAGCCCAAGTGATAAGAATGTTCACAAAAAGCAAGGCCTGTCCCCATCTGTGTTCAACACACAACAACGTGCATTTGTATAATCCTTCACGTCGGTCGAGTCTCTGAGCAGTTAAAGCTGCCATCCCGCTTGAAGCTCCTTGAGACGCCTTGGATGACATGATAAGGGCTATATCAAATGCAAGGATTGTTATTATTATTATATATCCCCACGGCCCTTAAATTTGCCATTCTTGGAATAACATTCCAAGACCTTATTCTGCATAAAGGGCACTAGATAAATTATCAAGCTGTTGCTTAATGGAGGCATTGCTCAACATGTTGTTGTGTAATTAATTGTGGGCTTGCTTGTCCTCACTGGTCTCATTTCACCAGGTTCAAAATCCTGGTCCTCACCTACAAAGCCCTCAATGGTCTCGCCCCACCCTATCTCTGTGATCTCCTACCAACCTGCCCGCTCCCTTCGCTCAGCCGGCTCTGGCCTGCTCCACATCCCCCGACCCACCCGCCCCACCATTGGCAGGAGAGCCTTCAGCCACTCTACCCCCAACCTCTGGAACTCCATCCCCCAACCACTCCACCTCGCCCCCTCCTTAGCCTCCTTCAAGTCCTGCCTCAAGACCCTCCTCTTCGACCATGCCATTGGTCACCCCCCCTTCCCCTCCCCTCCCTTCTCCCCCCTGACCCCAGCTCGGGTCTGAAATGTTGTACTCTGTCCAGCGCCTTCGGACGTCCTCCTGACATGAAAGGCGCTAAACAAATGTCATCTTGTTGTTGTTGTGTACACAGTGAGAAGTGAGAAACATATTCTGATCCTGCAAACTATTCACACATTCTACTTTCCATGTTCTAACAATTTCTAACAAAAAGTGCTTTTTCATCACTAGACTTTTTCATCCCTCCTATTCCTACCCTCCCTGCCCTCCACCCTCCTGATCCCAACCCCCTGCTCAGGTCCAAATCCCTGACTCCCTGGCGCCTTGGGAAGTCCTGACAACATGCAAGGCACTATACAAATGTAATTTGTTGTTGTAGACAGAACATTGCGATGCATTTAAGGAACTTGCTAATGGAAGCCAAAAGTTGGGCAATGCGAACCAGTTCCTTGAGTCACTGCCTCCCATTTCTGTCCTGAATCAGACAATATCAGATTCCCTATCCAATTCATCAGCACATCACACAGCCCAATCGAGCCTGAATTCAATCCATTTGTTTCATTCAAAACCATTTTTTCCAACCACCAAAACCAAAACATACCAAGCAATCATTTTAAAAACTTCAAGCCCTCCAGAAATTTGCATACTTTTTACCTTTCGACTACAAAACACAGAGAACCAAAAGAAAAGAAAGCTGATTACTCTGGCGTGAAAGGGCAAGTATTGATGTCAAAACAGCTGCAAATCTGGAACGTAAATCACAGGGGACAGGGCGAGAGAAATGTGCAGCTGTGGTGGTTTCTACATCTGCGGGGCTGACATCTGACAAAAGCGTAGCAACCCAGTTACCAATCTGTAAAGACACATTTGCTAAAAAGAAATTCCTTTCCTGGCGCCTAATTTTCCAGATCCAAAAAGGTAAAAGGATGGAGGGGGAACCTTTTGAAAAGCACTGTGAGGTTGTTGAGGCCTGTGGAGACTAAAGTCAGGTGGGATATTATCCAGTTATTTGGATACCACCTCCTTCCGTGCTTGAATACCCATCTAAAAACCTCCCTCTTACACTACACCTCGCGCCTGACTCGCCCTCCATCATCTCACCGCTCACTATAGCTCAGGCTCCCACTCAGGTCACGCTTGAATCATCCTGCACCGAAAGGCAGTTTGCCGGTGCAATCTGTTACAGCGCCGTTGTTATTGCTGTCTCGACTCTACGAGACACGGCCGGATGCAGACGCTAAGGTCCTGGCCCGTTTGAGCAACGGTTTTGCCATCACGAAGAGATAAGAAGGTTAACATTGCATCCGACACAGCGTGTCGTTGAGACCGCTCAGAGAGCTTCACCACTGTAAAGCGGACTTGACTGTATTTCGTCGGCGAAACTCAGCAGCCAGTTTACAAACAGCAATGTCCCACAAACAGCCGCGGAGCTCGCGGCCAATTTTATTATTATTTTCACCCGGGGCATTACTTGTTTCGAATCGTGCCTCGGGACCCGGGTTTAACGCCTCGTTCAAAGGTCGGCGCCTCCAACAATCCAACGCTGAACCCCCAGCACTGCGAGGGAGCGCCAGTTTGGACGAGGAGATTCCAAGTCCCGGGTCGGGGCACAGACGTGCGCACGCACACACGCACACACACAGCGGACAACAACAACAATAATACTTGCATTGGACACAGAACGTTTCAAGTCGGAAGGACGTCTCGAGGCGGTCCCGCGGGAGTTCGATGTAAAGTGCAAGGACTAATTCCGGGTGGGAACACCGCGCAGTCAATTTGCACACAGCAATATCCCACAAACAGCCACAAATTATATATATATATATATATACATATACACACACACAGTACACACATATCCGTACACTTACAATGTATACACCTATACATCTATATAAAGTACATATGGGGATGGCATTTAAGTACAAGTCGTTGTTGTTTTCACTGATACACACAGTAAAGTCCCAAAGCACTTTTACAACAGCGGCGAGAAAGTCACAGGGAATACTCTTTCGGAGGGGCCCCCAATAAGACACCGGTTTGAAAAAAAAACAGAAGCCTTTATAATAATAATAATAATAATAATAAGCCTTTATCGCTTTTTCTTCTTTTTTTGTCGGGTGGGGGGGGTGTGGGGGTGAGGGGGAGGTGTGGGGGGGGGGGGGGGGAGGTGTGGGGGGAGGTGTGGGGGGGGGTGGGCTGTGGGGTGTGGGGGGGGTGTGGGGGGTGTGGGGTTGGGGTGGGGGGGAGGTGTGTGGGGTGGGGGGGTGGGGGGGGTGTGGGTGGAGGTGGGGGTGAGGTGTGGGGGGGGGTGAGGGTGGGGGAGGTGTGGGGGAGGTGTGGGGGGGAGGGTGAGGGTGGGGGAGGTGTGGGTGGGGGAGGTGTGTGGGGGGGGGGGGGTGGTGGGCGTGTGGGGGGAGGTGTGGTGGGGTGGGGGGGGTGGGGGAGGTGTGCGGGTGGGGGCCGAGTCCTAACAAAACGCAGCGAAATTTTTCTTTAAATGAAATCGGACCGAAGTGTCGCGTTAAGAAAAGAAAAAAAGGAGAGAGAGAAAAAAAAATAAGAGCCACTCACACACACACAACTCGAACACATAGGCGTAGTAGGACCAGAGCACGACCAGGGTGATGATGAGCACCGGGACCCAGGCCAACACCCGCTGGCAGCACCACACTCCCCGGGAGATCGCCATCTTCCCGCCGCCGCCGCCGCCGCCGCTCCTCCTCCCGTCGCCCTCGCCGTGACCGATGCCAGGCCCCGGCGCCTCACACCAGGGCCGGCCTCCAGCGCCACAGAGCGGCCCGCCCGCCTCCCACCGCCATCGGAGCCCGGAGCCGCCGCGTCAGGGGCTTCACTCACGCCGAAGGGAAGGGGGGAGGACCGGCGCCGGGTGGGGGGTGGGGGGCCCTGGGCCTCGCGTCTACTCCGCCTCCCGCTCCCCGGTGGGGGTGGGGGGTGGGGTGGGTGGGGCCTCCCGCTTCGGGTGTTTCCGTCACGGCCGCCACTCGCTTCGGGTGTTTCCGTCACGGCCGCCACTCGCTTCGGGTGTTTCCGTCACGGCCGCCACTCGCTTCGGGTGTTTCCGTCACAGCGCCACTCGCTTCGGGTATTTCCGTCACGGCCGCCACTCGCTTCCGGTGTTTCCGACACAGCGCCACTCGCTTCGGGTGTTTCCGTCACAGCCGCCTCCCGCTTCGGGTGTTTCCGGAGCCACTCGGTTATTTCCGGGCACAGCGGCTCCCCCTGGCGGCCGTCTTCACAGGAATTTTTTTTGGGGGAGTCTCTGATCCAGAAACCCATCGCAGTGGCTTTGAGGGTCTCCGAACCAAACTGAGAATGATCCCAAACATCTCATCTACACGTGGAAATCCCAGAGACAGACTGTGGGAATGGAACGCGCTCTCTCCCTCTCTCTCTCTCTCTCCCTCTCCCTCTCTCTCTCGGGGGACGCGTTCTGTTACCTGATTGCGGACAGTATGGGGCGCAGGTTGGCGAGAGCCAAGGCTTTGGGGGGGAACCCAGAGTGTCCGTTGGGGTAACCGCTGGAGTCTGAGCGGCTAAACCCACGTAGCTTGCCATTGATATTGCTGACCGGCAAGTTTTCCCACTGCCTGTCCAGTTATTATTATTATTATTATTATTATAATAATAATAATAATAATAATGCATTTGATATCGCGCTTTTCGTGTCTTCGAGACGTCTCAAAGCGCTTCACAGGATACACTGTGAAGTGAGTTGACTGCGTATTCGCGGGCGAAACCCGGCAGCCAATTGCGCGCAGCAGCGTCCCCCCACACCCAGTCGGGGATTGAGTGACCAAATGTTATCGCTTTTTTTTCTTGAGGGATTACTGTCAGGCGTGTGGAGTGAGGAGACTTGCCCAAGGTTTCACCCTGACCTGCCGGGGATCGAACCCAGGTCTCTCGCTTGCAAGGCGGGTGCTCTCACCACTGAGCCTCAGGACTCCACAATCCTACCTGGGAGGGCTTTGGCTTTAGACAGGTATTGTATTCGGAACAGGTAGGACTCTGCAATGGTGGGAGAATTCAGAAGGGATTCAATCGACTGTACTGTTATTTTGCATATTGAGAATAATAATAACAATCTTTACAGTCGATAAAGCAGCCAAACGATTCACATGAAACCGTCTCGAAAGCATTGAACAGTCACCCACAAAATACGCAACTTTACAGTATAAAACTACAACGACTACTAATAATACAAACAGCAGTTTGCTGGGAACGCTCAGAAGGGAGGAAAGTGGGGGATACTGCTGTGCGCGATTGGCTGCCCGCAAAACATACGCTCCACTTCTGTGAAGCGCTTTGAGACGTCTCGACGAAACTCTGAGGCGCTGTATCAAATGCCAAGATTATTATTAAAGCAGGTGATAGCTGACATTTTGGGCTTCAGGCTACCTGTACCCGAGTGCCCATATCACCTGTTGTCTGGGTTCCACACTCACCTGTTACAGTGAAATCCTATATCAAATGCAAGGATTATAATGATTATTATATACCCCCAGCAGCACCACATGACTATCAGCAGTAGATGGTGCTCTAAGCCTTTGATACAAACCATTAAACATCTCAGATTTGTACAGTTAATTTCTCTGATACGGATTCCAATGAATTGCAATCACGCCGAATAATAATAATCCCCCCAAATAAAAACAAAACAATAATAAATTGGTCATTTTCAATCCGCGACTGTCTGTGGGACATTGCTGTGCGCCATTGGCTGCCGCGTTCGCCCACAAATATACAGTCAATTCACTTTACGGTGTGTTCTGTGAAGCGCTTTGGGACGTCCTCCCGACGTGAAAAGCGCTATATCAAATGCAAGGATTATTATTATTATTATTAAGGGAGGAAAGTGGGGGATACTGCTGTGTGGGGATTGGCTGCCCACAAAACATACGCTCCACTTCTGTGAAGCGCTTTGAGGTTAATAATTGGTTGAGGTGAATGAATTTCTGACCAATATTATAATAAATGATGATTTTGCCTGAAAGAGTCAACGCAAGGTGTGGTCCGCCTGTCTGGCCAGCAGGTGGCAGAGTTGACCGGGGGGTGGACTCCCCGTCACTGGACAATGGTCTGGTTGCCAGAGGGCATCTGAGCCTCTGTGTTGAGCTCGTTGTGAACAGGGGGAGAAAGGGGGAGGGGTGGGGGAAGGGAGAGTGGGGAGGGGGGAGAGGGAAGGGGAAGGGAAGGTCGTCTCTTAAAACAACGCCACCGAGAAAATGCCAATCCTCCTCCTCTCGCGCTTCAGGTGTCACCACCCCGGCTCGGTCAACGGCTCCCTCGCCCTCTCCCGTGGGTCAAGCTCCGACGCCGGACCGTTGCCACGTGCGCGATGCACCGTCACTACACCCGACAGCCAACGCAGCGAAGCGCGCATTTTGGAGGCATTTTTTTTTTTACCGTGACAGGCACTCGATGCAGCGCCTGACCACGTCGTTGAGACGTCTCAAATTTGGCGCTTCGCGGGATTTTACTGCCAAGTGTAGGGACTGTGTAGTTTGTAGGCGAACATTTGCTGCGGGCAGTTTGCGCCCAGCGACGTCCCCACAGACAGTCGTTAAGCGAAAAGACCAATTTCATCGGAGGTGGTGGTGGGGGGGAAATTGTCAGCCATTGATATTGGGAGAGAGAAACTCTCTTCTGCGTTTCAAACAGAGCGACGGGATCTTTAACGTCCACCGGAACAGACACAGACACGGAGGGGAAACCTCGGCTTAACAGCTCAGCCGAAGGACGGCGCCTCCGACAAAAATAACGCACTGCGTTGCATTGTCAGCCACATCAGATTACAGCAATTACCCGCCAGGCGCTGTGAAAAACTCTGCAGCTATAGGCGAAGGTTATTATTATTTATCATTATTATTATTGCTGACAATAACTCCTATCTGTGTTTTTTTTCCTTTTTTTTAAAAAAAAATCCCACAAAGTGAAAACTGATGGTGGGGAATGTTAACGAGGCTGATGTGTGCACATCTGCCACAGTTGTTGAGATGAATCCTTTCATTTCTCTCCACACCACCCCCCCCCCACCCCCCCACCCGCGCCCCCCAGCCTTTGTAATTGTAGTGTGCGTTACATGAACAAGCAGCAAAACCTTTAATTTTTCTCTGTCTGAGGTTTTGCTAGACAATTTTGTTGCCAGAAATACACAGAGGAATATGTACACCTCGTCCACAATGTTTGGTGTACAACTGGCTACCGGTTTGGTGTGTCAGCCCGGCTCAGTGGTAGCGCTTTCGCCTCTGAGTCAGAAGGGAGTTTCTCTCTCCTGGTGTCCTGCCCAACAATTTCCCCAAACAAAAAAATGGTCACTCACGCCACGGCCATTTGTGGCACACTGCTGCGCACAACTGGCTACCCCGTCGGCCTACAAAATACACGGTCACTCCACTGAACAGTGCATCCTGTGAAGCAATTTGAGATGTCCCAATGACGTGATAAGGCGCTGTATCAAATGCGAGGGTTATTATTACTATTTATTACGTGCGCAGAGGGTTACGCAGGTAATGTCCTGGCCAGTACTGCATTGGCAGGGCGTTAGCCTCGCAGGGGGCCTGGGCTTTGTGCGAGTGTGTGTGTGGGTGTGTGTGTGTGTGTGGGTGTGTGGGTGGGTGGTGGAGGGTGGGGAGCGAGAGTGTGAGAGACGAGGATAAGAAGTAAAGTTAACTTGCTTCAATTTAAGTGGGCGTGGGTGGGGTGGGTGTGGGTGGGCATCAAGTGCCAAGGGTTTAACTCAGCCCTGCGTAACACCAACAAACCACTTTGAGTGAGGTTTGCATTTGATCTGCCCTGAGAACTCACCACAATGTATTTTCCAGGGCTCGAAAAAAAAATGCCAAGCAAAATATAACATCACCAGACAGACAGACATCAAAGGGCCTGGGGCCGCCGCCTGGCTAGTCATTGCTCCTGTTCGCCCAACAGCTGCCAAAGCACACACAGGGCAGGGACCGAGGGAGAGAGAGAGAGAGAGAGAGAGAGAGCGCGCGCGCGAGAGAGAGAGAGAGAGAGAGAGCGCGAGAGAGAGGGGGAGAGCGCGAGAGAGAGAGAGAGAGAGAGCGGCACTGTACTGCGCTCTGCTCTGCTCTGCTCTGCTCAGCAGCTGCTGGCAACACAACACATGTTCGGCAGCTTTCCCGAAATGCTGGAACGCTTTGCGTAAGAACTTTCCACTTTGGGCGGACTGAGGCGGAAGTGGGAGGGCGGGGGTTGGGGGGGGGGTGGGGGCTGGGGTGTGTTGGGGGGTGAGAACGTGGGGGGAGAGAGAGCCTTCCCTCCTCGCTTCCCGCCAGCGACGCTCAGGGACGCGCTCTCTGTCAATTATTACAGACAGACGCACGCAGCTCGAATAGAGAAAGGACGTTTTTCCCCCCCCCCTGGATTATCGGGTGTACAACCCTCCTCCCCCAACATTACATGCACACACGCACAAACGCATGCACACACATACAAATATACACACACACACACACATACGTGCACACATACACAAAGATACACATACACTCATGCATGCAAACACACGCACACACACGGATAAATCAGCCATTCACTTCACCGGTGTTTGTATGTGTGTGCATGCGTTTGTGCGTGTGTGCATGTAATGTTGGGGGAGGAGGGTTGTACACCCGATAATCCGGGGGGGGGGGAAAAAAAGTGCCTTACAAACACAGTCAGCAACAACAACTTGCATTTAATGCGGCGCTCTTCCCCAGGGTAGCGTCTCGGCAAACATTAACAACGGCAAAGCTCGATGCTCAGCCGGGGAGAAAGGGGAGGTAAAGGAAAAGGGAAGAG